AACTGTTTGTTTTCTTCCAATCACCATTTTTTTTGTCACACACAGAAGATGTACTTGATATATTTCTTTGATTGGTTTTGAATTCTCTTTGTCAAGCAGACAGTTTGTTCTTGACACATTAAATATTGTGTCAGTGAAAATGTATGGAACAGTCGACTCTGACCTTTTTGAGCTGTCTTTGTTTTGACAAAGTTCATTGAAAATGAATCTCTCAACCTCCCAGAAAACACCGTATATCCCTCTATAACTATGCCCTGCTGCTTTTCAAGTATATATTTGTAAACCTTTTTAAAAGACTTGCATCTTCACAACTATCATACATGTTGGGGCTACAAACTAGTGAAGGCAGATTGTTGAGTTTGGTTTTGTGTTCTTGTTTCAGTATTTAACAAGATCAATCCAGAAAAATTACAAATACTACCAAAAGCACTCGTTGTTTTTTTTAATCTGGAACAATAACATAAAGCACTGATTTAATTAAAATGATTTTTTTTCATATTGAACATAAATAAATGATACAACCAGCCTCATACTTTCAGAAACATTGTTTTCAACCATATTTGAGTCAAAGTAAAGGTAAAGTGTTTCCAGTCAATCCCATCCTGTCATACTATTCCTGATTGCTCATTTTAAATTGAAAGCTCAGGCTCTCAGGCTACAGACAACTGCTTAAGCTTTGGTATACAGTCTTTATAACAATTATTTTATTTTCCTTTATGTTCTCAGGTTCACAACAGCAGAGTGTGTGACGGGAGTGTGTATTCATGCCCAAGAGCCCTCAGTCTGTTCTTCCCAAATGAGGAGGAGATCCACATCTCTGGATATCAGGTCCACCAGGGAGGCCGCAGGTTTGTTTGTGTGAATCTATCTATGTGTGTTTGTTTTACAAAAATGTAAGAAGAAAAAGACAGAGATGGATTTTAAGAATCTTAAATAGAGACATATACACAAACCTCCTAGAACTGAGCGGTTGGATAACAAACATAGTTTTTGTCTGCCCAATCTACACCCATGTGAAGTCCCAGTAGATTGTTTTAAGCATGAAGAAGTAACTTGTTGCTCTCTTGAAATGTCTGTCTCTGAAATGTCAGATTGAGTCTGCCTCAGACTATAGGAGGTGTGTTCATTGAGCGACTGGCCGATTACCTGCTGGTGAAGAGTGTGTTTGGCTTCTCTTTGGCCTGGGATGGAGGTTCAGGTGTGTATCTGAAGATGAGCGAGGAGCACCAGGGTTCCCCCTGTGGCCTGTGTGGGAACTTCAACCACATTGCTGGTGATGACCTCACCACTTCCCGTGGTAAGACCGGCCTGACCGGCCCCTCATCCTCTTATCCCTTCACTCAGCACCCACTCACCTCAATTATGATTATTATACACTCAACTCAAATTCTGGCCAATTATAGAAGCAGTGGAGCCTGAAAAGACCAGAGTGGGCGGATAAGAGAGAACTGATAGTTTAGGTTTGAATAGCTGAAAGGAGCTTGAGTTCTTCCTCAGATGAGCAGAAATATGAACTGTTGTTCCTAACTTGTTTGGGCGAGAGCAGTCCAGTAGAGTGAGGATGAGCTGATAGAAAAAAGAGTAAGCAAGTGCAAAGACACTGACATGGTTTGATTAGACTTTCCCTTGGTGCCAGATTTGATCCAAACAAATTTATGTTTAATATTTGATGTTAATGTCGTTTTATGACAACCTGAAATGATTTTGTGCATGTTTGAATGCTTCTATTCCTGTACAGCATTTTTTCCCTGCATGTGTATATGGCTGTGTGTTTCAGGTCTTGGGACAGTCGAGCCTTCATTGTTTGCTAACAGCTGGGCAGTGGACCTGCCTCATGAGAGAGCCTGTCCATCAGTAGATATTGACTTTAACGGGCCCTGCCATTCTGAGTCAGACATGGACGTAAGAACGAGAGAAACATTCTGTCTCCATTTTACTGTTTGCTTCATATTAAAATCAACAAATTGATTGTTTTGATGGTTAAAATTTAAGACCGAGTTGTGTAATGTTTATGACTGTACTGCAGCAACGTTTGTTATATTTCTCTCATTCTAATAAGTTTATTGTTTTTCTATCATAATGCATGTATTGTTAATATTTGCAGGATGCCATAGAGAAATGCAGTGCACTTCTCTTCTTCCCATTTCTGTCCTGTCATGAAAACATAGACCCAAATCCCTTTGTTGCCAGCTGTGTGTCTGACCTCTGCCTGTAAGTCAAAACACATGCATTGCTAATTGTAATATTAACCTTTTCTGTGTGCTGTAAGTGTTGTTTCAGGATGTTTTTATTTCCCTTTATTTCAGATCTGATGATGAGGAAACATTTTGTCGAGCCTTGGTTGAGTACACTCGAGCCTGCTCACACGTTGGCTATCCAGTGAGAGAGTGGAGGGACAGCTTCCCTTCTTGCTGTAAGTCAACAATGCTGCTCCACATTCTCAGTGAATATACATATCTTTTAAGTTCACACATAGCATATTTAATCATTTATGTTATCTTTACACATTTTGTTTTAAAATATATGTTAAAAAATGATTCAATGCTCATGCTTTGTGTGTGCATGATTGTGTGTTTAGATGACGGCTGTGAGGAGAGTTTTGTCTATAGAGACTGTATCAGTTGCTGTCCACCCACCTGTACATTTGAGAAAGATTGTCTGGGAACCAACCTGCATTGTCTGGATGGCTGCTACTGCCCTGATGGTATTTAATAATAATTAATAAGATTGTTTTTTTTTTTAATGCATATATATATAGGGACAAGTATGAGGCAAGTTAACCATTGCCACACACTACAGCATTTATAGTGAAGCTAATTTGGAATGCTATATCCTAGATGGGCCTGTAAAATAATCATAATAATATAAACGTGTGCCTCTTTTTCTCAGGTCTTATTCTACAAAATGGAACATGTATCGCTGTTTCTCAATGTCCATGCGTTTACCATGGGACATCATACGTACAAGGACATGTGCTAAGAGAAGGATGCAGTGTGTGGTGAGTGTGGACAATGTAATAATTAGTGAGCATATTCTGTTACGCTACTAACCTGCTGCGTGTTTTCTTTAGTGTGTGCGTGGGAGGAGTGTGGAACTGCACTGAGAACAACTGCACAGGTGAGTTAACGCATACAGGACAGTGAAAGAAGAGGTTGAATTCACATTCACTACCCCCCTTTCTCTCCTCTTAGCCGAGTGTTCAGTGGTAGGTGACGTGTATGTGACGACATTCGACGGCAGGATTTTTCTCCAGCCGAGGGCGTGTCAGTACGTCCTGGCAAAGAGCCGCAGCAGCAGCAGCAGATTCACCGTCACATTGCAGTACACAACCTGTGCAGAGGTAGTACGCATAATTATTCGCTCACACACATCACTCAAACCCTGCAGTGGTCTTTCGATGTACACATTTCTTATTTCCTCTTTATATTCTGTGTGTCTACAGCAGCAGGTGTGTATTCAGTCAGTCACGGTGGTGTTGGATGAAGATGTGACCCATCAGATCACTTTGACCAGAGAGGGGGAGGTGATAATTGGTATAAACCCTGGGCCTGTACTGCCCTATGTGGACGGTAAGGCGTTTGATACACCACAGATTTGTATTATAAATCAAATGTGGATAGATCACACTTATTGAATTCCTCTCTTTAGATGACATCAGCTTTAATATTTTGTTTTTATGTCGATGTGTTGGACTATACTTTTAGATGCAGTGGAAGTGCGGAAGTTGACCTCTGTGTTTACTCAGCTGAAGGCCGCAATTGGTTTGAGGCTGCTTTATGATGGTCGAGGTGGGCGGGTCTACCTGCAGCTGGAAAGCCAGTGGCGTGGACAGACACAGGGTCTTTGTGGTACCTTCAATGGAAATCTACGAGATGACTTCCTGTGAGTCAGTACTTTCTGCTTTAAGATAGATAGTTAAGAGAGTCAATTTAGCTGACCGTGTGTGTGTGTGTGTGTGTGTGCTTCTCTGTGTGTAGGTCTCCAGCTGGTATGATAGAGGGCACTCCTCAGCTTCATGCCAATGCTTGGAAGGTTTCATCTGCTTGTGTCGCACCAGTCAACCTTCCAGTCATAGACCCATGTGAGATGAACCAGCGCAATGGTAACTACTTCATCTTTTTTATGTCCTTTTTTAAAAAAAATTTTTTACCAAGTATCTTATCTTGTTAAATGTTTAATCTGTTTTTGTTGTTTGTCTATATTCCAGCCTTCTATGCATCCCAGTGTGATGTGCTCTTGGGGAGTGTGTTTGCACCGTGTCATAGCCACATAAGTCCAAATGTCTACCAGCAGCAGTGCCGCTACCAGGCCTGTCGTTGTGGGAGCAGCTGTTTGTGCACAGCACTGGCTCACTATGCTTACCTCTGCTCTAAACACAGAGTCGACATTGATTTCAGAACACAAGTCTCCGAATGTGGTGAGTGCTTAGTTTCTGTGCTGTGTTTTTACCCTTTTTGATAGGGTATCTGTGTTTTAAACCTGTGGTATAAACCTACTTGTGCGTGTGTGTATGCAGGCGTTGTGTGTCTTGGAGGCATGTTGTACCACTCTTGTGTGTCGTCTTGTGGGCGTTCTTGTCGTGCTCTGTCGGACACTGAGACTTGTAACCCCGCCGACTGTGCCGAGGGGTGTGGCTGTCCAGACGGTAGTTTCCATGACGATGTCCGCCAGCGTTGTGTACAACTGTAAGCAACTTCGTATCTCATACATCATCCTAATGATGGTCATCAATTGCTGTTTGGCAGATATATGTGCACAGTCTGGCAAACACAGCGACACAGAAAGCAGCATCGTCAGTTCATGTAATTAAAAATAATGTCATGAGTTTATCCCCAGGTCTCAGTGTCACTGTTACTCCATGGGTGGTGTGTCACAGCCAGGGGAGGTGACTTTCAGCGCCTTGGGCCCCTGGTGAGTAACTGCAGGCCTTTGGCTGCTTTCCTCGCTGCATACAGTGCACCGAGTTTTGAAAAGCAATAAAAGCGTAAATGATTATCAAATGAGACGTAGAGTAACATCACTCTCTGCTAAAACGCTAACCCCCTTTGCTCTCCCTTCCTGTCTCTTCCATCAGCCTGTGCAGAAATGGGAAGATGGAGTGTGTGCCAGAGGAAAAAGGTAACCTCTTTGCACTCCTCCCCTCTTTGCAGTCCCTTCTCTCGTTCATTGCGACTACAAAGTGCCGTTTCAGGCTGTGTCCCTCTTGCTGAAATCAAGAGCCTTATGTCTGTGGTTGTAGCCCGTTTCCCATGACTGGCTGTTGCTGTAGATTTTTAAGGCAACAGGGGCATTGATTTTCTTGTGTGCATGTGTGTGTGTGTGTGTGTGTGTGTGTGTGTTTTGTTGAGCCAGATAGTGTAGAGGTCGGGGAGTGTCCAGAGGGAAAAGTGTACCACAGCTGCACCGAGCAGAGGGGAGGTGTGGCCTGTGCACCGACCTGCCGTAACCTGATGTTGAACCTTACCTGTGCTCCCAGCACACCATGCATCCCTGGCTGTGTCTGTCCTCCTGGGTAATATAAGCACCAGCTTCCTTCCAATATAGTTGTGTATTTAAAATACCATATGACTCTTTTTTTTCCCCGGGTCCACTTTGTGAAACATAAGGTTAGTTTAAGGGACCTCCTAACTTTTCTGTGTTTTTTACAGAATGGTTTAAATATGTAGTTGCACACTCTGTGAAGACCGCTTGAGATCGAGTTTTTCATTTACGTGAAAACTGTTCCTCTCTCTCCCTCTTATGTTTAATCTGTAAAGGCTGGTGCTGCACCACGGAGAGTGTTACTACCCAGAGAACTGCCCCTGTGCCTGGATGGGCCTTGAATATCTGCCAGGAGAAGCTGTGGAAACATCATGTTACAAATGGTACAACTCTTAATTGTATTTCAACTACAAACAATAATATTTATTTTAAAAGTCCTTTTTTTCTGAATTTAGACTGTGTCATTTTCTCTGTAGCATTGAGCTCATTTCTAGCTTTTATCTGTTAGAAATTAGAATTGCACTTTTCATGAGTGTCGTGAACATTTTGCTCCACCTATGTTTTGTCTTCACCTTTCTAACGTGCGATCCACCCGTCTGTTTCCTCAGCGTTTGTCACCGGGGCTTTTTCAACTGCAGCTACTCACCTTGTCCAGCTGTTTGTACCGTCTACAGCGACAGACACTACCACACCTTTGATGGCCTAGAATACGACTACCACTCTGATTGTCAAGTCTACCTGCTCAAAGTGAGTAGATTGCATGTGTTGATTAATTTATGATCACATTAGTGTCACATGTGCAACAGTAGGCGATCATCAGTTTGAGTCAGAGATGTGTTTCTGAGAAATGGTGGCGGAAAAAGACAAGCAGCCTGCAAACTCCAGCCAAAACTGATTAGGATCTTGGAAAGAAGATCGAAGCTTATTTCTAATCTTGGAAGAGAAAGTGTTTTTTAATTAGAGCAGATTAGGTGTGTATGTGTGTGCTGGTGGGTTTTGCACCCTGGTAATGCTAGCCACACAAAGAAACCAGTGTTCACTTCAAACCCCACGGCTCCTTTGCTCCCAGGGATATAGAATTAGAATTAGCAGAACAGGCATAGCAATTCAGACAGACTGCTGGCTAGCCTGCAGATCTGAAAAGAATGGGGAAGCAATTCAGAGCTTTTTTTTTTTTTTTAAATCGCCTTCTTTCCTGTCACCTCTTAGTTGTTTTCTATCACAGGGTTTTTCTGACTGTTTCATCTATAAAGGGAAATTGTGAGCAACGGTTATTTATTGGAAACTGATTATTAAAATGTGATCAGACTTCCTAACCTTGTGGGTAAAAGTAGTCTTTTTTTTTTTTTTTCCACCTCTCTCACCAGAGTGCAGGAGAAACCGAGGTGTCCATTGTTGCTCAAAACAAAGACTGCTATGAGAGCGGCATTGTTTGCATGAAAATACTGGTCATTCATGTGGGACTCACCAAGATCTACTTCACTGACAACTCTGGGAACCCTGTACGTACTAAACAATCACAGTCATGCTCTCTCTTTGACAGTCAAGTTTCCTATCTTTGTCTCTGTTCCTTTGGAGGATATAAATCTTTAATTCCAGTAATTTCGCACATTTTTTTTCTGCCACAGAGCCCGTCCACGGTTGTAGGTCGGGGGTCAGAGTTTGAGATTTGGAAAGCAGGCTACTACACTGTTGTCCACTTCTCGCAACAAGACCTGACCATCCTCTGGGATCGCAAGACAACCGTCCACATCAGAGCTGGTCCTCAATGGAAGGTCTGCTCTAGAAGTGTTTATATATTCAAAGTGACAAAGTTTTTAAGAGTCCTCTGGTATATAGTTATACATATACCGTATACTACCAAAGGACACTAAAAACATTCCTTGTGTCTGCTATTTCTCTCAAGGGCCATCTCAGTGGGCTGTGTGGCAACTTCGACAGTGTGACAGTGAATGACATGACCACCTCTAGCCACATGGAAGTCAATAATGCACAGACCTTTGGAGACAGCTGGGCCCTGGGACAGGTATGAGTCAGCTCAGCTCCTCTCCTCAATTAATTCTCCTTCTTTTCCTCTTTGTTCATCGGTCTTTCCCTAATCTTTAGCCCTCTGTTCCGAATGTAATTTATCTGTTCCTGTGTCCCACGAGCCCACTGTGATATTTAAGAGTAATCAGACACTCCATCACCCTCTCTCTGTGTGTGTGTGTGTGTGGATTTGTTTGTGTGTTGTAGTGTGAAAGTGACTACGTAATTGAGCGACCATGTGAAGGGGACTTAGGCAGACAGCCATACGCCAAGAGGGAATGTGCTCTCCTCTACAGTGATGTGTTTGCACCTTGTCACAATGTGGTGAGTGCTACTGAACTGATGGACACACACAGACACACACGTATAGTGCGCATGCAGCCTTTAAATCGTTAACTTACTTAAAGAAGAGGGTGAGTGGTCTTAATACAGATCAGTGTAAAGGTACTCTTTAACGCTTAACACCAGCTAACACAATAGATGCAAGGCTCCACTCATGCACACAGACATTAAACTGATCGCGTTTTTACAGTGTAGTACTTCTTTAAGTGTCCAGCAGATGGAGCCATATGTTTATGCACAGGAGTTTAGACTTTTATAAAATGCTGTTGTTGGCATTACCTCCCCCTTCTTAAGGAAGTCCTGAAATGACTCTGGTTTGAGGATAAGCTGTGTTGAAAACATTCTTTATTTAACCCTTGTTTAACACATTTATGGGAAAGTTGTTGTTTTTTGCAATTCAGTTTTTGTGACTTATCCCAATTTTAAATAATCATTCAAACCTGATTGTAGTGATTCCAAGTATTTCTGTGTAAAAAAAACATGTAAGTTGTATTCAGAACAACAGAAGAAAGAGAATTTGTTTTTTATTGCTTCCCAAAATGGCACAGATATCACAAGCAGGGAACTTTTGGGGAATTTTTTACAGCCAAAAAAGGAAACAAGACCTTGTCCGCATTAGCACATTAGCATTAGCACACAGGAACGTCTCCTAAATAGGACTATATTTTATCTGCAAGTTACTCATAACACAGATGATACTACATGTCTAAAAGATAAAGTGCGTATTACTTTAGATGGTGCCAAAAGAACCAAGGCCCAGTCAACCAACAGAATAACTAATTGCTGAAGCGTTTTGTCTGACTGTCACTAAGCTCATCATCTGATCCTTTCTGCACCAGAGTTTGACCCACATTCTGATATCTCATCACTCGTTCCCAGTCTGAATTATTGAAACTACTCACCCTATACACAAGACCTCCCCTAGTTTCCCCACGTGAGATTTAGGCCTGGTTCACTTTGTTATTGTGTGTGCTTTGTATATTTGTGTGTGCGTTTATATATACATGTATATAAATGCTCTGTATACTCTTCAGGTGGATGTCGCCTGGTTCTATAGAAACTGCCTGACAGACACCTGCAATTGTAATCGTGGGGGAGACTGTGAGTGTCTCTGTACGTCCATTGCTGCATATGCACACAAGTGCTGTCAACAGGGGATCACAATACACTGGAGGTCGCCCTCTGTCTGTCGTGAGTACACACACACAAACACACACACACACACACACACAGAAAAAAACAAAGACGTAGTACTAGTTGTCTTTTTTTTCTTTTTTTATTCAACTGACCCTTGCTGACCTCTTTGATCAACATTTATCTTTCCTTGGATTAATTATTGTTCTACTATTTTCCATCTTAGCTATCTATTACACCAAAGCCATTGACATACATCTCCTAACTGTCTTGCTCTCTTTCAGCCTATGATTGTGAATATTATAATCAAGGTATGTATTCTTGAGGGCAATTACTGTTCCCAAACATACAAACGCACGGTTTCTCTGATGTCAACGCCTGAATTTCCTCTCTTTTTTTTCCCTCTCTTCCCACAGAGCTAGGAGATGGCCCATTTTCTTTGGTGAGTGCTGTTTATAATGACACAATGTTGGGAGTAAATCGCAGCAGCAGTTCAGTGTTTCCTCTGGTGAGAGAGCGACCGGGGCAGTTGCCTGCCCCAGGACTACTGTTCAACTTCATGATCACAGCAGGCCTGCAGAAGGACAGAACATCACGTGAGCATCCACATTCATAAAATGAGACAAATACATGACTTCTCTTTTGTCTTTTGGGGTTTTTTTTTAACACACATTGGCTGATTTGCTCAGGTGTCCCAATGGTGTCGCTGGAGTCTGCGGAGAGACCAAACTACTTCCTTGTTGCGTCGGGGCGCAGCCATCTGCAGTTGGAGCATTGGAGCCGAGGTGCCGAGTTTAGTCACAGGGCTACGTTTATCCAGCATCAGGGGCTGTTTCTGCCTGGTCACACCTCATTCGAGCTAGTCGGCCAACCCGGAATCTTCCTGACGCTGACGCGAACTGCTGCCCGAGCGCAGAAATACGACAGCTCAGAGGGCTTCAAGTCCAGCAGCAGCTTCACACTGGAGGGTCTGAAATGCATGCATATACCAAACACACAAACACATTTACAATTACATTCATGCAACAAAAATAACCTCCAAGGTCTTTGTCCTCTCCTCTGGCAGAGAGCAGTTTTGTGATACCTTATCGTATGATGTGTGAGTGGCGCTACCAGGCCTGCGCAAACCCATGTGTCCACACATGCATTGACCCGGATGCAACACGCTGCCAATTCCTGCCACCGTAAGAGGCCTGTGCTTAGTAAAAATTCATTTTCTTTCATCACAAAACAATCAATGTTTACCTGAAGGGGGAATATTTTTTTTTTGCAATGTTGTAGTGTGGAGGGCTGCTTCCCAAGATGTCCCAAGAATATGATCCTTGATGAAGTCACTAGACGATGTGTCTACACAGAGGACTGTGAGTGCACCTTGTAATTCATTTTCTTTGAAATTACGTTTAAAAAAAAAAAAATGTGTTTGTGGACGCTTTTCTGTTTTTTTTTCACCAATGAATGTATATACTTGTGAAATTAATTTTCCCTACTAGGTGTGTCTCTTCCTCCGACTCCAACGCCCTTTGCATTTGTGACACGGTCAAACAGGACTACTGCAGCACCGACAACAACTGAAACCACTACAACCACTTCCACTACCACACGTCTTACAACCACAACTCCTACTACCACCACCACACCAACCACTACTACCACCAGAACAACAACTACCTCTGTCACTACCGTCCAGCCCACAACAACAACAACCACTACTCCTACTACACCATCGGCCATCGAGCTGGTCACCACTCCCCACATTACTACTGCTCCTTCCACCACTACTGTTTCTACTACTCTCCTTTCCTCCGTCCCGTCTGAGACATCCACTATCAGCAAGATGGAAGTGACCCCACCCGAAACCACAGGTGTCACTACAACAGTGAGCACAGCAACACCCTCCTCCAGGGCTATTACAGAACCCTTTACTACTCCCCCTCCATCCCCAACTACTCCTGCCTCCACTACCTCACCCACCACTCCTCCATCCACCACAGTGTCAACATCACCAGCGACCACAACCCCACCTTCTCTTACCTCCCCCTCCACACAGCCACCACCCACCACAGCCGACACGGCTGCCACCTCTTCTGTCCCCGCAACCACAACTACTCCTCCACCTTCAACAACGGACACAACCATGACCGTAGAGACCACCACTTCAGCGGAGTCTTCAACAGTTGGGACAACGACGGCGACGCCTTCTACAACCGTGGCGGCCACTACTGTGCCGTTAACCACAGAAATAATCTCGAGCCCGTACACCTCTCCTGTAACACAAGAAGCATCAACCACACATCCTTTTCTTTTGCCGAGCACTTCCTGCACAGCAAGTATTTCTATTGTAGTAACATTTAAGTACATAGCTTAAAAATACTTCATTCAAATGCGCAATTAAACCTTTGATATGAATTTATATTTGACTTGATAATTGAGACTATTTTTCTAGATGTACCACATAGTCTATAAACTATCTGTATTAGTTATAGACTCTGTGTTTGATATGGTGATTATGGCTATGAAAACAGCTATATTCATTTATAGAAATGCTTTTTTTGTGTGTTCACTGATGATTAAAGTCTGCACATGGTTATGAAGGAGTACTGTAGCGTGCTTTGTGAAACAAGGAATTGTCTCTGTCTCTGCAGTCTCCCTTTTCCTACCGCATCGATGACTGCGCCGAGCTGTTTTGTTTCAATGGAGAGCTGCTGCTTCACAACTCCTCTCTGCACTGTCGCTACAATACCACCCCGCCCCAGTGCAGTCTGCTGGGCCTCCCTGTCCTCATCAACACAGACCCCTGCTGTCCACAGTGGCAGTGCCCCTGTAATTTGGATTGTTTAAGCTAAAAATAACCAGATGATTCAGAAAAAAAAGAAGGCCTAGTTGTATGAAACCATTGTTTGCTGTGGTTGTCTGTGTTTGTGATTCTCCCAGGTCGCTGCACTATGATGTCAGACCTGCGTGTTATTACGTTTGATGGCAACAATGTGGCCTTGTATGACAACGGCTCCTACATCTTGGTTAACCTGCCCAGAGAGACTATTATTGGCACAGTGGAGAAATGTCCTACCAGCCAGGTAATAAATATAACGAGTTAAATATGAACTTTTTCATTAAACATCTCAAAATACTTTTTGGACATTTGATGATTTTTATGCTCCTTTTAGAGTGTCAACTCAATCAGAAGAACTGTGAGTACGCCTACCTCTCTTCTTCCTTGATTCCATACACTTGTAATTGCATCAAAATGTAAGTTTTTTATTTAACTTGTTGATTCAAATTTCCTTTTCACATTTCCCACAAAGAGTCCTACAGGTGGAACTTCTGGTCTGTGTTTCAAGAAGCTGAATATTACAACCTCCTCCTACAGAATCATCATCAACCGTCTGGATCGCAAGGTAAGTCTCTCGTTTACTGCTAAGGGGGTTTGACTTATTCAACGCGAGTAACACAGCTTTTGTGCCTTCCTGTCTCTAGGTGACCGTAAACTACAGACCTGCCAGACTTCCGTTCTCCCGCCATGCTCTTTATGTGGAAGACACAGGTAGCATGTACCTGATCAACACACCTGGAGGGGTCAGCATACAATGGTACCACAGCACTGGCATCATGGTGTTGCAGTACATTACTTCTTACAACTTATCCGTGCCCACTCGAGGCCTGTGCGGTAAGTCCACACAAGCACACACACACACACACACACACACACACACACACACACACATTCTGACAGTAGCTTTGACTGGTCTAAGAGCGTGCTATCAGCACTTAAAGGCTAAGTGTCTAAACAACAGCATCACTTTGACATGAATCCTAATAGAGTATAACAACTTCAGATGTTGAGGGCCATTTGGTTAAAGTTAGCCATCTGACACACATTGTTTTACTTCACATGTATTTAACTAACTCAAATACACATCTTTTAATATTAACTCAAGTACACACCTTCACTGAACTTCTGTCTGCCCATTATGCCAGGCTGTTGTGATGGGAACCCAGAGGACGACCTGAAGCTGCCCAATGGCACAGTGGTCAGAGAGGTGGGAGACATGGTGCTCTTTCTGCAGGCTTGGAGAGTCCACACTACAGATGAATCTGAACATACTCGCAGGGTTGGAGATAACTGCACCACTGGGGACTGCTCTTTATGTCTGTCCATGCTTCGTCAGAGGGCCTTCACACCATGCCACAGCAAGGTACGGTAGCTAAAGTATGCAAACAAGATTTTACAGGCTGGATGGCAAAAAAAAAATAGTTCTGTTATTTTGCTTTTGCCGTGTGATATCAGAATGAAGTTTCCATTAAAAAGTAATAAAATTGTTTGTAGCTTTTCATAGTTTTGACAAAATAAATTGAATGTTAGTCATTAAAAAATAACATATCGGGGCGCTGGTGGCGCAATGGTTAGGCCGCGCGCCCCATGTATTGAGGCTGTCGTCTCAAGCAGGCGGCCTGGGTTCACATCCCGCCTGTGGCCTCCTTCCAGCATGTCATTCCCCACTCTCTCTCTCCCTGATTTCCGACTCTATCCACTGTCCTATCTCTCCATTAAAGGCACAAAAGCCCAAAAATAAATCTTAAAACAAATCGATGCAGCCGTTTTTGATGTTATTCTGGACATTCTTTCACCTTTAATTATGTGTTCTAAAAAAAACTATAAATCCACATTGTGTAGACTTGACCTTTACCTGGTTTGTGTATGCAGGTCCCTCCGGAGCAGTTCTGCGACATCATGTGGGCAGGGGACTTGCACTACAAGGATCATCAGTGTGACTTTCTGGCAGCATACGTGGCGGTCTGCTACACACATCAAGTCTGCATCAGCTGGAGACGACATAACTTCTGCCGTAAGGAGACACAGGCTAAGACATCACACATGTAAGCAGGTGTACTTGCTTGTGTTGTTTTCTTTTGCTCATGCATTTCTAAGTGTCTGTCATCTTGCAGCATTGCGGTGTCCCCCCGGTAAGGAATATCAGCCATGTGTGAGCACCTGCACCAGTCGCACCTGTCTGAACAGAGAGTACTACGAGGAGACAACCTGCTCCTTCATCAGAGAGGAGTGTGTGTGCCGCAGTGGTACCATCCTGCACCGAGCTGACTCCCCGTACTGTGTAACTGAGGATCGATGTGGTGAGTGACAGAGTAATTACTTGCCTTAGTGATGAAAAATGCAGTGTCAGGAAATCTGAAGACATTTTTGGACTGAGCTTTATATCGCTACTGGCCCCACATCCACCTGTTTCAGGACTATATTAACTTGCCTCCGTTGTATATAGTGTGTACAGATAACGAAGGTAACCCTCGAGCCCCGGGTGAAGTCTGGAATGGCTCTGCACGCAGCTGCTGTCTGTACAAGTGTATGGAGAATGGCTCCGTGTTGGCCGTCGAGCCAGACTGCCACTCTGTCCCGACGCCTCTGTGTGAGAGGGAGGGAGAGTACGTGCTGGATGTGCTGGAAGAAGGAGTCTGCTGCCCAAAGAAGATCTGCGGTGAGTTTAGAAATGTAGCGTTCTTTTCTAAGAAAGCCAAGCTGATCAAAAGAATAGGCTGCATTCACTTCAGTTTACCCTGAAGCTTATTTCTGTAGCAACCCAATGTCCCTGAGTACTTCTAAGAAAAACAAATCGAAACATTTCCTCATGTATGAAGTTGAACACATAATCCCTATAATTGTCTCGTCTTATTCCCCCTTACTTCTCGTCAGAGTGTAACATGACCATCTGTGACAGTGAAGCTCCACCTTGTGATAATGGGAACAGGCTAGTGATTGGTTACAGCGCTCTGTCCTGCTGCCCAGAGTACAGATGTGGTAAGAACTCTCTGGTTTAATTTGATTTTTTCTCAAGAACTTTCACTTTCACTGAACCCTTCACTGCTCTTTAACAGAGTGTGACCCCATGGCATGCCCTCCTGTGTACGCCCCCCACTGCGGGGAGGATCAGTTCCTAGTGGAGGTGAGGGGGGAGAAATCCTGCTGCTACTCTTACCTGTGTGGTAAGTATTAATTGTAGTTTGCAGGTTAGTCTAAAATCATGTTCATAGTGTGAGGTTAACACTTCCACACCACAGCGCCATACTCCATTCTCCAACTGGACAGCAAGACTGAATGTCTGGTTTTCTCTGTTTTCTTCTTTTTTTTTTATGTTTTCTGTCCGAGCAGTGTGTGAATCATGTCTTGAACCCGTCCCTTCCTGTTCGAATGGAGAAATTCTGGCTGTGGATCTCAACACCACAAACAGCTGCTGTCCACAGTACCATTGTGGTACGTGTGCGCATGTTGTACTTTTATATATTTTTGGCTATTTGTCTGTGTTTTTCAAAGTCAAGCTTAGTCTTTCTCCCATGGGTTTCGCAGTGTGTGATGTCAACCTGTGCCCTGAAACCTACGTGAGCTGTGCACCTGGTCTCTCTTTGATTCAAACTACTGTCCCCGGTCATTGCTGCCCACAGCACCACTGTGGTACACACTCACAGATTGCACATGCATAAACATACGTCCTGTTTATTTCTGTGTATTGAATTGATGACGGGAATAATTTCTGACATTTTTGTGCTTGTCACATAGTTGCATGAACAACACTTTATCTCTCACTGAACCGTTTCGCTCTTTCCCTCCCAGAATGCCAGTGCGAGGACAGAACCCTCCCGATCTGTCAGGTGGTAAGTCGGCAAAAAGCTGCATCACAAGTCACTGTCTAATCAGATCTTGGCTAGAAGGAATACAAAGTGGGAAAAATGTTGAGTTAAGTCAGCACTTTGTTTTCTCTTAGGGGGAGGTGCTGGTTGAGGCTTCAGACAGCATCACCAACTGTGGCTGTCCTCAGCACACGTGCCGTATGTGTACAGCAACCATTAAACTGTCATATTAACTGTGAAGAAGTGTAACTTTCATGTATGTTATATTTATGCATCCTGTGTTTATGTTTGTGCAGAGAAAGCAGAGGTGTGTCTTTTCCAAGGTGTAACAGTACTGGGCCCTGGCCAGTCTCTGGTTCAGTACCTTGAGGGAGAGATGTGTTACACTGTCCAGTGTCTTCATCACAGAGATCCAGACTCTGGCTTCTACGCCATGGAAATTACCTCTGTCAACTGCACCCAAAAATGTGGACCAGTATGTATCCTACACATTTAATAATTCATGCTCCATACCTCATCTGCTGATAGTTCTATGTTCATCTAGTAATTACCTTCCCCTCATCCCTTCAGCACCAGGTGTACATGCAGTCCACCGACCCGCAGGTGTGCTGTGGCTCCTGCAAAAATGTTTCCTGTACTTTCACAAATGAAAACGGGACAACAGAGCTTTTCGCTGTAAGAACAAAAATGTCCACTGGAGCTCAATACCCCCCCCCCCTCCTTTCTTTGCAGTACTGTACTGATTCTGATTGTGTGTGCAGTCAGGGAGTTCCTGGGTGGAGAACTGCACACGTTATGACTGTATGGAAACAGCAGTGGGAGCGGTGATTCTTGCCTCTGGGGTGGTCTGCCCACCTTTCAATGACACTGAGTGTGTACAGGTCAGGACTTCCAAATGTTCCTCAAACTGAAACTAAGCTCCAAACCAGATTGAAACCATTCATGGTTTTCATTCACTATTCACATATAGTTTTAGTGTGTTTGTCTATGTTCAATGCATGTATAAGTCACTTTATTAAGGCTTATTTGCCCAAGAAAAAAAGAGATGAAAAATGGATCAAATACACAATCAAGGGCGGGGAATTTAAAAAAAACTTTAACAGCATGTTTAACTTACATTTTTACCTTCTACTGATTTTACTTTTACTTTTTTGAAAGACAGGTGTGTTGTCCTTCAAATAAAAACTGAAAACCGACTATGCCAACTCTCAATATGCTCTGGAGTCTTTCAAAGAAACTCTATTTGTCTTCTCTTCCTCCTGCAGAATGGCGGTGTTGTTCAAAGCTATGTGGACGGTTGCTGCAGGACATGTGAGTCAACCATTTTTTTTTTTTTAAGGGTGCTTTTAATAATGCTTTGAGCTGTTGATCAGACGGGTGAGCACCTTGTTGCCTGGCAGTGGATGGGCTTATTGGCTGAATGGTTGGGGGTGTTGCAATTATTGTAGAGGATGGTGATAAAGCCTATTGTTGGGCCTTACTCTGAACCTTTGGCTTTCCGACTCTTCTGATGTAATGTTCAGGATCCAGCTCAGCTCAGGTAACAAATGAAGTGATATGACTTCACTCAGCATCATTACTGAGTCAGTGCTAAACTTCCTGAGCCTGTACTTTATAGATAATGTCCTCTGAGATGTTTTCCCTGTGTAAAAAAATAATGTTGATAATTTAAGGTTGTCTGGGTAATCTTTTAATAAACATGCAGCGGGTGACATTTTTGGGGGTTGCAGCCTTGCCTCGCTTGTCTGCTTCAGCTGTGACCCTGCAGTCTGAGCCAATCAGGGTGCTCCGCAGTGAGCGCTTCACCAATGAGGATGCAAGATGTTTCAGGGGTTAGGGTTTGCCCTGCTGAGCTGCTCTTTGTAGTACTTCAAATGGCTGAGTTCTTTGGCTGGCTTCCCGGTGAGTCCCCGAAAAAAAACAAAAAAACAAGTGAAATCCATGTGCATGCCAGCTGCACCGATACCGTCCTCTGTATCTGTTTGTGTGTTGACGCTGAACTGTGTTTTCTGAACCAAACATAATCTTGTGTATGTCTTCAAAATATTCTTTGAACTGGATGGCTTCGGTCCTGATGATGTAACCAGGTTCGGGAGTGGGTGTTTTACCATTTACCGTTAATCCTGTAACCCCCACTGGTAGTACTAACTGTGACACAGGTACCTCAATCTTGTACTATTCCCTCTTACAATCATTCATTGGAATCTGAGTGACTCATTTACTCACTTTTTATCTGTGTTACTCTGTGAGTCTGTTTTTGCCTTGTCTTTTTTTTATTTCTTCCTCTCCCTGTCTGACCCTCACCACACATAATAACATGAACAACATCTAACATTGCAAACATCTCTGAAATAAAACATTCAACAAGACCATTTGCAATGCTAAATAGTTAATGGTAGTTGTGAGACAAAAATAAGCTCCGATGTTACACAGTCTTTTCGGAAAAAAATCATCCTCATTTTTCTTTGTACATTCCTGTTCCCTCAGAATAAATGAGTAAGGTTAAGTTTAGGTCAGTAGCCAATAGGAGAGCTGAGCTCTGCTGGGAGAATTATGCCCCCCTGTTACCCAACTGTCAATCAAAGAAAGCTCCTACTGCTGAGCAACAAAGAGCCTGGCTCAATAGGCCTTTCAATGACAGGTCTCACATGATGAGACCATCAAAGAGTGTGTTTGTGTGTGATATTATGTTTACCAGTGTGTGTGATTGTGTGTGTGTGTGTGTGTGTGTGTGTGTGAGTGCATTCACATCTTTGTGTAGGTTTGACCTGACAAGTTCATGTTTTCACCGTGAAATATTTTTATTGGTAGTTTAGATTTTTAACGATTGAGGTAAAAAAAGTTGAAAAACTGTGTGTCTAAAGTTACTTCTCAGTGTTACTCTAATTTATCTGTGAATATATGTAGGCAAAGAGGATGGTAAGACATGCAAACGTGTGGCCATACGGACAACGATCAGAAAAGATGACTGCAGGAGCAATGCACCGGTGAGAGCAAAGCAACATAAAATGATGAGTCAGAAACATAATCATACTGTACATCTTTTTTTTCTTTCTCTAAAGCTTAGATTCTGCACAGGACTCATCCTGTCCTTCTCTCCTCCGACAGGTAACAGTCTATTCTTGTGATGGGAAATGTCCGTCTGCCACCATATTCAATTTCAACATCAATAGCCACGCCCGTTTCTGTAAGTGCTGCCGCGAGAGTGGACTACAAACCCGCTCCGTCACACTCTACTGCTCTCGCAACGCCACAGTCGTGGAATACAACTTCCAGGAGCCCCTGGACTGTTCCTGCCAGTGGAACTAAAATACAGTTTCCAGACATGAATATGAATGAGAGCATAACAAATGAAGAGAAGTGTATGAATAGGAGGTTACACGGTGGAGGAAATCAGACTTATACAGCACTGAAGGAGAGCATTAAAACCAGCCATGTTAAACATTTATTATCATTGTGTTTCACTTTACAACGCTGACCTGGGGTCATAGTTGTAATCAAAAGATATAATTTAAGTGGGAGACTGTTTTAAAGTAGTTTTTGCACAGCTTTTTAGTGCTTTCAAGTGACGGTTCTAGTGTATATTAACATTTGATATCATGTTGAAACAGCAGTTGCTGCATTTTTTAAGACTGCTGTTGGGTTTAAACATTGTATATGCTTTTTGTCTTAGAGGATAAATTTAGCTTTTGTACAAAAGACAGTTATGCAATGCTTTTTTTCTTTTTAAATGTGATCCTTGGCCTCTTTGTAGTTTCTTTTTTTTTAAGTAAAGTAGGTTAAACAAAAGATTGAAAAATGTGTTTGTCTGAATTATTGCAACACTGACTCTTCTTATGACCTCCACTGTGGCCTGTTTCACCCCAACCCCCCTGCACACACACACACACACACACACACACACAACACACACACACACACACACACACACACACACACACACACACACGTCTTTGTTATCAAACCGTCATGAGCTCAGCCTGATTCAGCGTTTGCATTGCTGACATGTGTTTGTGTTGCACCTCTGAGTGGTAATTGCTGGGTGGGAGTCACCTCTTCATTACATAGTACCCCTCAGTGGACTGGAGTTCCCTGACTGTCAATCATTTCTCCCTTTCAAATTCCTGTCATTCCACATGGCCAGTACTTCCACCACACCCCAAGTCTGGGCCAAACGATTCTCACCACTGCACTCTTGAGGAAAAAAAAAATCTGCAGCAAAAGCTTATTTTAAGGGTTCCAAGAAGTCCTGCAAACAAGACCAGTCTGATGTGACCATCCAGAGACTGAAACTGGTGATTTTTGCCTGCTTATGGCATCTCAATTTATACACAAATACCCACCCACATCTCCCATCTCTCTGCTCTTCCCCTCGGTCTCTTTATTATCCCCACCTCTCCTCTCATCAGGAGCCGTCTCCAAAGTGGCCGTGTGCCCTGTGGTTACCATGGCGACCTGCTCTTATCCAAACAAAGAGCCAGAACAAATTGGGTTGAAGTCATACATGCTCTCTCGCTCTCTCTCTCTCTCTCTCTCTCTCTCTCTCTCTCTCTCTCTCTCTCTCTCTCTCTCTCTCTCTCTCCTCCACATAAGGGCTTGCTTCTCAGGGGGAAACAGCCATTGAACGCTGACTTTTGAGTGCGCGCTAAATTCAAAGTCCAGACTCTTGTTAGAAGGTAAAACAGACAAACAAAATGTTTCTCTGAGATTTAACACGCCAATGATTTTGTAATCCATCCGCATGAGGGTGCGTATTACAGCCTTGAACTTTCGGCTCAATTTTTTTTAACAAAACGTGAACTTTTTTTCTTTTCTTTTTACGCTCATCTCTGCGTCAGCGACACAAATAGTTTGGGACTTTCCACTACCGATGTTACACTCAGCCGCCCCGGGGTTCATTTATGACAACATGGATGGCTGAAAGCAAAGACGGGATCTGTTGTTCCTCGTCTTGGAAGTGACGCTGTGGCTGACTGAGGATGATGGAGTGATCTTTTCAATGGGGACAAAAAATCATCTGTGGTTACTGGCTAGTTTATGTCAGGTAAGGTTTTTTTTTGTACTTCAGGTTATTGCAATAGCCTTTTCATTAATAATTATGTATATTATTAACTTGTTACACCTAAAGTGACTTGTTCTCCCTCAGGTGGTAATGCTGACCTGTGAACAACACTTGGTCCCTGTTGAGGTTCAAGTTGTTTTTCAGTCCTTCCCCTCAACTCCAGAGCCAGACACATTCTCAGTCGCCTGCAGGACTGCAAGTAACCACCTTGTAAGAAGACTACTGGTGATCACAGCAGATATTTTCATTGCAGTTTGAACCGCTTTAGAAGTAAATTGTCACAATGTTTCTGCAGGTGTACGTGGAGCCCATCAATCAATCAGCATGCTCTCCAGACTGCAGAATGACACTGCGATTGATCGAGGACCAGAGAGGATACACCATCACACTGAGATCCAGCAGAAATGACACCACTCTTGAGACAAAGATGTTTCATTTTAGTGAGTTTCTGTGAACCTGAGTCAGTCCTCATGGAGAAAGAAAATTACATTAGTGCTTGTTAATGAAGGCTTGTTGGTGTTATCTTTTACCCGGTTTTGTATTTGTGTCCAGTTCCAGTCCCCCTGTCTTCTCTCCATCTGAACACCACTACCACGTCCGCTCTCCTGACATGGAAACTTCAGAAACAACAAAGCCTCTCCACCCTGAGTTTATACAACGCTCACACACAAACTGTAACACACATGAACATCAACTCTTCACGTACAAAATCTGAGTACACCGTGAGAGGTCTCCAGCCTGGCTCACACTTCAAGGTCAAAGTTGTGGTTGCTACGCAGCTCAAACACCTTTATTTGTCCTTGAAGCAGATACTCTGCATCGGCATGGAAACAGGTATTTGTACATTTTTGTTTTAACACGATCACATTACCACATGTTGATCTTCAACTTTAAAAATGGACTGCATGTCATGTGTAATCTGTCTGTGTTAATTACAATGATTTGTGTTTCCAGCTCAGTGCCCCCCTGGCTGGTTGGCCAATGGGAGAAGCTGCTACATCGTGAGAAGAACAGGTTTAACCTGGAGGGAAGCCCAGCTCAGCTGCAGACACCTGGCAGCTGGAAGTCACCTGGCTGACCTGAAGACCTCAGAAAATCAGTTTTTTATATTTTCTCACCTGCTGAGCCAAAACAACCTGCTGCTGCTGTGGACTGGCCTCAACGACAAGCAGGTAATCCTTGTTAGGGAATGTACAGGTACTATTATATTATTATTTATATTATTATTATTATTTTTGTCCACAGAGTTGCCTGTACTGTATTTTTTTTTAACCTTGTTTTTCTGGATGTTTTTTTTGATAAGAGAGCTTTAGATATGCAAAAGACATTGTCAGTTTTTCATTATTTTCTCAGTTCACATTGCAAGATACTAGCTAATGTGTCATCAAGAATGTGAATAGTTATGCATAATGACATTTTCTTAATAGCATTTTGTAAATAAGATAGTGATTTGTCAAGCAAACCATCAGATTAAATATTTATTACGAATGAATACTTGATATACTCTATAGTTTAATTTTTGCAGGAAAGCAGAATATTTTCTGCAGCATATTCAAACCTTCCTTCAGAACATTTTATCACACTTTCTGCAAGTTCCTGTCACTTTTAATACTCAAGAATACTCTTTTAGGTCTTCTGTATGCGCCTACTGAGATTGTATTAATATTTTGTTTAACCTTTAGTTAACCAGGAAAGATAATAAACATTATGCAAATCTTTTGTATAAAGGAATCTTTATCAGGAAACGTTTATTTTATGTTTGACAAATTGGTCAAAATATCATTTTGATCATCAGTAAAGTTCTGTTACTTCCCTGTGAGGTGATAATAGTTTACTTTCCAAACAGTTAAATCGCTGTGGCAGCAGTTACTCCTTTAACGGGAGTTTTGTTTTCAAATACTTTCACTTTAATGACAGGGAGACGGGGGGGGATGTGTGTCATGTCCACAGATGGAGGGGCGACCTCTGTGGTCTGATGGCTCAGCCTATAACCTGACCAAAGCTGTGATGTCATCACTGCCAGCCAATGAGACGGACTGTTTCGCTCTTCAGATGAATGCCACAGGACCTGGATACTTTCTTACTCCATTTTTCTGTAACATCCCCTTACCCTTCATCTGCCAGTTCCAGAGTAAATAAGTTCTGCATTGTAACTTTTGCATTTATGTTATTTGACAATTTCTTAGGATATCGCTAATAAAATGATGAATGCACTCTGATAAAATATTAAAATATAAAATATATAAAGTGCAAAATACTTAATAATAAATCCAAACCATATTTTGTTGCCAATTCTCCCTTATTTTCTCCTCAGGTAACCTTAATGTTCTTCTTCTTCTCTCTCTTTCACAGCCCCTCCAGTCTCTGCCTTTTTCTCCTTCGACCTGGTTCAGGTGACAGAGCATCATGTCGAGCTTCGATGGAGTGACCTCTTCTCCTTAAACTCACTTAATCTTTCCTCTTTTGGGATATCCCTTCAGTATCAAGAGGAGGCTATCAAAGAGTTGGGACAAGTGGGGGAAGATAAAGACAAAAAGGTGACACAGAGCAAGAGTGGTATTAAAAAGATTGTCAGGGTCCCAATTTCCCTCTCTTCCAGAGGGGTGACTGTGGCAGGTTTGTCTCCAGGGAGTGTCTACTCCTTCACTCTTCTAGCCTCTCACCCTGCAGGCCCCACCTGGAGCTTGGCACAAACACAGACTGCCTTTACTAGTGAGTCTGCTGTCAACTTGTCATTGTCTATAATAACAACATTTTAATGCAAACAGGTGTTAATTTAAAATGCAATGTTCTTATTTTTTACAGGACCTCTTCCTCCTCAAAATATAACTGTCGGCCTCGTTACTGTCAGTCAGATTAGTGTGCACTGGATGCAGACAGACGCACAGTTTAAGATGGGATGTACATTTGTTGTGCGCTACGTGGACTTGACTTCAAATCTAGAGAGAATAGTTGGAATGCGCAACATCTCCATGTTACCTGAAGCGGTTGGGTTGCAGTCGTACGCCGCTGGGATTGGAGGTCTTAAGTCCTACAGGAGATACATGGTTGAAGTGTACACAGTCACCCAGCATGGGATAGAGAGCTGTGGACAGACACCTGTGACTGTATGGACTGGTAAGCTGTGTGATGTTACGGATTTTTGTTCAAATCAAGAATTTGTTGTGTGATGTCAAAACTCTTTCTTGAAAAGGCTTATGTTGATATGCTGTTGGATTTTTGTGAGGTGGGTTTTTGAGGAAATGCCTTTCTAAAGCTTAAGATGCTACAAATGTGTTCTAAAGTTGCACACTTGTACTGAATGTAATTGCATTTTGTTTTTGGCAACTTGAGGAATGTGTCAAGTAGGATTTTTTTAGATGTCTTTTTGGGCTTTTCTTGCCATAATTGAGAGAACGGTACAGTTGATACTGATGGAAAAAGGGAGAAAGTGGGGGATGACATGCGGGAAATGGCCAAGGGTGGGAATCAGTCTATAGCCTCTGTATATAATACCTGCAGTTTAACCACTGAAACGAATCATCTATAAGGATGTAGTTTTAAATATAGAGTATTATACTGCTAGTGGAGGTCATTTTCTCTAAAAGATCTAAAAGGCATTATTTGCAAGAAGCAACACCAACTATTAAAACTGGGGTGGCATACTTTTATTATATATGATAAATAGTTTCTGTATAAGAAAGTCATTTTAAAAACAGTTTCAGCATCAATCCAAAGGTCCCTAGGGTTTACTGCATTTGTTCCTGCCCTAATAAATAGTTATCATAGTCAAATAAAGTGGTTTCCAAATATGTTTGCGGGACCCTGGCCCTGTAGGACATTTTGCTAAATATATCTGGTGTTAAAACCTTGAATCACACGTGTTTTGTATTCTCAATAATTATTATTTGTATACCATTTCTCCTCTTTTAACATCTTTTGATTGTGTCCATTCCTTCAACATTCTGCGTTTACAGAAATGTTCTGATTGTTCTTGCTAACTAAAGGACATATTTTTTACATGTTTTACATTTGACGGTATGTTCTCAGTAGTTGGCCCAGCTAGGATTTGCAGACTTTGATCTGACATGACTTTGTTTTGACAACTATTATCTAACAACTTAATGATGTTCTCCTTTTAGAGATGGAGGCCCCTTGTGGTCTTGCTGTATCAAGTGCGACAGGAACTCTGACAGCGTGTTGGTCCAGTCCGCCTGATGACCCACCAGACGGTTATAATGTCACATCCCAACCCCTCGTTGACCCCACATCAAGTTCACGGTCTTCTCTGTGGATAAACCAGTCCAGTCCTGCAGCACTCTGGGTTAATGAGTCTGTGTGTGTTGATGTGGGCTCATTTACTCCAGGCCAGACTTATGAAGTTGGAGTGGTCTCACTGATTGGAAAGGACAAGAGCAAGAGGACCAGCATTAAACATACCACAAGTAAGAGAAACAGAATGTACTTCCTTTTAAAAGAGAGACTAAGACTTTCTGAGTGTGAACACAAGTCAGGGACACATGAACATGTTGCTCAGTGAACTCATTCCTCATGTTGATGGCAGGGAAACGATCCATACCAAATGAGTTTTCATGGTGAATGATGAGGGACAGAATCCAAAGTCCTTAATTTGTTCTTCAAAGCTTTTCTGAAGCCAGTATGAGGCTCCTTCTTTGTCTCTCTCCACAAAGTGCTTCCTTTTGAGTTGCAGGGATTGTAAGATAAAGAGGGACGTGCTGCACTAAACAGGCTGTAACTCTGGAAGATATCCATTTGATTTGACTAATCTGTAAAGCACGAGCCTCATATTGGCATCAGATACCGTTCTGAATATTTGCTTGGCAGAGGGAGGCATCGTGATTTTGTTTGAATGATTAAAAATCCCTTTCAATGTTCATGATTACACCTTCCTCGATTTAAAACATATCCTAGAAATTGTAAAAAATACTCTAGTTTTAAACATACTTTACCTATTTGTAAAATGATTTTTGTATTTTTCCTCTCTGCCCTTGAAGAGCCCCTGCCAGTTCAGGTAGCGGTCCCTCTTTCAGTGGGCACAAACTCTGCACAGTTGTTCGTCCAGCATCCCAGCTGGGTGTGATCGATGGAGTCACAGTGTGTGTGTGTCCAGGAGTGTGTGACACTGCTTGTGAGGGAACATGTGGGTACACGTGTGACTGGTACTCCCTGCCTGCTGGTGTCCATCTCATAAGTCTAGTCAGCCTCAGCCCAGGATCTGAGTACCAGCTGGGGGTGTACAGCACCAGCAGAGAACAGTTGGGAGCACCTTACTACACGCATCCCTTTAAAACAGGCGAGTTCCACATACTCTTTAAAAAAATAATTATTTCTTCATAGCAAAATGTCATAGAATTTCCTGTGTAGATTTATTTTTCTTAATTTGCTCCATTTACTAAAATTTAAAATTTGATTAATTTTTGTATTTTTATTCATTTTTTTCTCATTTTCACCTCTTTTTTTATTTTTATGATAATATAGGCAATGCAGTCATCATATTCCCACTTAAAAACAATGAGTAGTTTTTATATGTAATGTAAGAGGAGTAATTAGAGTTGGTCTTTTTGGGTATTTTTATTTTCAGGTCTGGCTCCTCCTATCAGAGTGAGGGAGGGTGTGGTCACAGAGTCGTCCATAGAGCTGGTTTGGGACCCAGCTGAAGGACTGACTCACATCTACGAGGTCATCTGCCTCAACTGTGACCATTCACACATGGTAAAAAAATAAAAAAATAAAAATTAATAATAAGAATTGTCAATAATGATTTTTTTTGTGTGAAAAATGATCAACTGTTAAAATGATAGTAAGGCTGTTAGACAGATTTGTTGTTTATATATATAATGTGTGCTGCAGGTGCAGAAAGTGTTCAATGAGAGTGCAACATTTTCAAGTCTGACTCCAGGCGGCCTCTACCACTTTTCAATACGAACAGAGAAGGAGTCCTTCACAGACAGTTCACCCATCAATATCAATATCACAGCAGGTAAATACACACACAAGCATACATAACATAAACACACTCAATATGTTTACTACATTGCTTATTGTTTTTTTTTTTTTTTTTTATATCCCAGCTCCCGCTTCAGTCGAGGTGTCACTCGTCAATAAAACCACATCATCCCTGTGCGTTTGCTGGAGCATGGTCAGGGGAGTGGTGAGCACACTCATCCTGTCATTAAAAAACACAACGTCAAGTCATGAGCTGATCGTCTCTTATCAGGAGCCAAGGTCAGTGTCACTCAATTCAAATATTTTCACCGTTTTATGAGACTGGAATCACAATTTTGAGAACACATTTTAATTTTTTTTTAAATAGCATATGCTCACAGATTTGTCATAGTTTGTACCTAAATACTCTGACTGTTAGAGGCTTTGTGTCCACACAGATATTACTGCTTTGAAGGCCTCGCTCCTGGAAGCCTGTACACAGCTGAAGTTATTAGCACCAGCAGGGAAAGAAGGAGTAAACCTTCTACTTTAACCCTCCATACAAGTAAGTTTACTAGTTTTAGAGGTATGAAGTGCCCTGAACCAAATGCACTGTGTGTGTGTGTGTGTGTGTGTGTGTGTGTGTGTGTGTGTGTTCTCACATGTGCTCATGGACTTGGATAACAAAATGAATGTGGTTGTGAATGAACAGTTGGAAGGGAACAGAAGTATGCAAATACAACTAGAAAATAAATTAGAACATCAAATAAGGGGAAAAGGAAATGATTTTGGTGTGTATTCGGTTTCATTTCACAGACCGATAAGGGATTTATTACAAAGTTGTGTCAGTGTAGGATGGTGAATCAAATAAATCATTGTCTCACAGGACATACGAGCACATGCTCTGCAGCTTAGATACACCAGATAAAGGGGAAATTAAGCACCTGTCTCTTTGGCTTCCTGATTTTACTTCATAAGCTGTTAAATCCAGACTGTATAAAACATGGATTCTCAAAGAGGTCACCCATTGGTTTCTGAAGCGGACTTTTGAAACACATCGATGACAGTTGCAGTATTGGAAATGCTGTCTCAAACGAACTTTTGGGCAGCTTGGAAACAGGCAAAGAGATGAAGTAGTGTAGGCCAGACCATCAGTCAGATCAGCCAGACCCTTACTATCAATTATCCTACATAAAATCAAAACGGACAAGTTAAATTCACCTGATAATTTTGTACCATTAAAGAAATTAGCTCGATTTTTGATCTGGAAAATATCAATTTTAGAATGGGTATGTGTTTGACTTGCAGTGCTTTTGCAGCTAGGCCCAAGTGGATACTTGAGGAACTGTTTTACATAAATACTGTTCATTGCTATTTGGTAAAAATGTTACTTTAAGTTACAAAGTATTTTTTAATCTTTGTACTCATTTACTTAAACTACTCTCACCCAGCTGACTCAAGTGACCTTATTTAAAAAAAAAGTTATTTAAGTGTGTATTACCCAGATTGAAGGATGGTAAGTGTGCAGTACATGTTGTCATATGCTAAAGGGAATCTTTCCTTCAGAGCCTGGAGAGCCACAAGAAGTGAGTCTTTCAGAGCAGGCAGTGACTTTGGTGTTTGTCACCTGGAGCCCACCACCAGGGCAGGTGGAGGGGTACAAGGTAAGACATGAATACTGCTGCATCCGTTTCAAAAAGCAATCACAGATGGACCCAGACACATGAGGTTACACACTGTAGTAACTTCTGGGCAGATGAGCATAATGATTAAGTCATTTTTCTTATACAGAACATTACTGGTCCCGGTAATTGCCTTTTTTTTAAGGACAGAACAGGCCAATCAGCCCCAGTCAGGTTTTGTACTCACCTGTTGGTTACTCAGCAACCGTTGTCGTCACACCACAGATTGGGTTACCAACCCTTTAAAGATATATGACCTCTGTAGAGCCACAGCCAGGAGGAATGACCAAGCACATTTTGTGCACGCAAATACAGAAACCAAATCTACAAAAATACACGAGAGACATTGGTTTAAATAAAGTAATGTTAATGTAAAATGTGTCAAGTTTTGAATTTTGTAATAAAACTTGAAAGTGACTGATGATTTTTGTTGTTGTTGTTGTTTTCTCAGCTTGTTTTTGGCCTGCTTTCTATGGACAGGAAGTTGTGGATTGAGGTGCTTCTCCGGGGCACAAATTATGAGATTAGAAAACTGATCCCAGGGTCAGACTACGGTGTGAGTGTTTGGAGTCTGCTGGACTCAGACACCAGTCAGGAGGTGCACAGAGAGTTCAGCACACGTAAGAGACACACCTTATTTCTGAGAAGATTTTTAATGCACTGTCCTGAACGGGGGGAAACAAAGTTGTTGGTGATTCTTAAAGCTCCTCTGAAATGTTTTTTGTTTGGAATTGAAACAGACTGAAATTAATAAGAATGCCTCTACATGACCTACAAAAGCAACCACATCATCATCGACAAGAATTACAGTTTCTATTAAGTAGATTTGTGAGTTAAGGCATGCTGCTTGAACAGAAACTTTGTTTACTGTGACCATGCCAAAGATTCACAGTGACTGAGAAGTTTGACCGCTCAAAGTTAGCAGAACTACATTTTTATTAGTAAACACTACCTACACATTCATAGGACAAAATCAACCATGGGATAATAGCACTAAATACTAAAAGTATTTTGTCACAAACCAGAAGTTCATCACAGGATCTTCAAGTAATTTAAAGAATTTCCTGTTTTTTAAGCTATTCAATGTTATATTTATTTTTCATTTTGAGGTTATTTTACATTCTCAGCCTGTATTTTACTTTGTTTGTGGTTTAATCACGGCTTAAATGCTGAAAACTTCGAGGTATAATTGTTTTCCAGGACCAGCAGGAATATGCACCCTCCATGTCGGAAACGTCAACACTTCTTCCGTGTCTGTGAGCTGGGATAGTGCGCTTGGAGGGTTTGACTTCCACAGAGTCACGGTGGCCAACACCTCCGCCGCGAACACACTCACCGTACCCAAGGAGGAGCGGGTTGCTGTGGTTACGGGACTGGTGGACGGCTGCAGCTACAACGTGAGCGCTGAGAGAGTGAGGGGAGTGACCGCGGGGAGCGCTGCCTTTCTTACTGTCACCACAGGTAGAGGGAACAACTCTGCATCGGTCAACACCCAAATACTATCACCTGCTCCGATCTCTTCTTCAGTAAATCACCGACACTTTCTCCACTTCTCTGACTCTGCGTCTCTCTCTCTCTCTCTTTCCTGTCCACCATGAGTGCCGGCACGTGTGCGAGGACTGCGTGAGATGAATGTGTCTGCACGTGAGTTCTCGCTGCGTTGGGAGCAGGCAGAGGGGTGTGTGGATCATTATCAAGTGAGACTGCTGCCAAACCAAGGAAAAGTCACAGTGCACCCCGCACGTGATGGATACATACAGGTACACACACTGATAACGTCATGTTTGAATGTACACCTTATAAACTCAATATAACAACTACACCATCAGAGGCAGCCGGGCATCAAAGGCTGGCACCTGATTTACTATTCTGTATGTACAAACATACACACCATTATATATCACCTGCCGTTCAAACCAAGTCCTTCCCCACACTCGCTCTTCCCGTCTGCCAGGTGTCAGTTATCCCCCAAAATGTAACCTTACACACCCTGCACACATACAGCACACAGAACACAGAGTTGAGTAATAGATCTCATTATTTATTGAGTTGGCCTTATGAGCTCAACCCTGAATCATTCATTTGCTTAAGCAGCTTTCCCTAGAGAGAGAGAGAGAAAGAGAGAGAGAGAGCAGAGGGGAGAACGTTAGCCTTGTGCTAATGAAAGGACCCACTGCCCTCCCTGGCCAGAACCTAAAAATTTGGAATACCTCAAGATTAGAACTGTTAATATCCTATGCTGGGCCCACTAACCCTGCAACCTTTACTCATGCCACTAACCAGCCTCTAGATCTTGAGGTGTTTTTTTTCCCGTTCTGCTCAGTGGAATACCTGTAGACCACTACTAATGATTATTTACTAACTCTGGATGCTGCTGTACTGGGGAGGCCTCTAACCTGCTGTTTCTAAACTTAAGCTTACTCTGCTATCCAGCATGGCCTTCACTCGTCTCATCCTGCTGCTCACACTCTGCTTGGGGCAGATAGACTCACAGGTAAGACTTCTTCGTATTATCTTGCACTGGCACACAGACTATTAGACTTAACATGCATCCACATTATGAGGCGTGCAGCCACAGTCAAAAGTCAAATACACAGAAGAACAGGCGCAGATGTTAAAAAAAAAAATGCTTAGTCATTATTCGGGGCGGTAACATAAGGTAATAGTGCGGCACACTGCCATCTACCAGACTGATCTCTGAGGTGTTAATGTTGGCCACAACACACATTAAAGCAAATACACTGCAACACCAGGGTATGCCAAGCGAAGTATTAAGACAAACAAGTGCAACCACAAGCAGAAACAAGGTGTCATCCATTCACAACTTAAGATTTTTCATACTGAAACAGATGGCTGAGGATCTTCTTCAAATAGAGTTGTGGTGATGTATCAGTATGCCACATAATACTACTCAACGACAGAAGGCTGAGTAAGTGCTGTTGCAGAGCTTTACAAAGTGAATTCCCATCTCTCCAATGAGATTTATTCTTGCTTGTATTTACAGAAAATGATTAGAGGATTACTGTTGTTCAGCAGAGATCCTGATCCAGGGGTATATGTATCTCATTTATCTTCTGTCGTTGTCAGTTGGTGATCTAATTTGAAAAAAAGGAGAGGTTCAAATGAGAAAAGCAATACTCACATCATATTTTTTAAAAGGGAAATATAGGTACTTTACCAAATAGGCAAAACTGTTCAATTCAAGTTTGAAAGAAAGAGAAGAAGAATGAACTTGGTTCTTTTAACACTTTGACAAACGTGCAAGTGCTTTTTGAAAAAATGTTTTTATGTTAAAGGAACAGTGCCTTCAGGCTTCAGACTGGATGCAAAAAGAAGCATAAACAAATGAGAGATGGCAAAACAAGGAATGGTAAATTGTTAAGAATGTCATGTATTTGGATCAAGCTTTGAAATTATTTACATCCTGTTGCATTTGTTTAATTCAAGAATCATTCAAAAGTCAGAGTGTGGTAAATAGAGGTTGTGTAAAAAAAAATCGATACAGTATAGTATCGTTAATATTTTGTGTGTTTTTATTTTCTCATGGTCGCTAAGTATCGATATTTTTAATATGATATTTTAGACATGCTTTTTTAATTTTTAACTGCTGAAGGGGGTTGCACATTTCATTTTGAACAAGTTGCATTGTTAATAATGAGTGTTCAAGTTCAATTAGACTGAAATACAAATAAAAAGACGGAAGTGAGATGAACAGATTGAGAGTTTTATGTTTATTATGTTGATTTAGTTTAGTGTAGTGGACATAATGTGCAGTGAAAAAGCTTAATCGCAATATATTGTATCGCAATTCTCAGCGTATCGCAAAAATGTCAAGAATCGCAATAAAAATCGTATCGTGTCTCGAGTATCGCGATAATATCGTATCGTGGGGACACTGGTGAGTCCAACCCCGAGCGATAAATGACCTTTCTTATCTCTATTGTAATACCTAAAAATGAACTACAGAAACTAAAACGCACAGGATTCACCCCAACAAGCCAATCACCATACTGAAACTGTGAGAGCAAGGTTTTAAAAATTTAAGGTAATGGTTCACAGAAATTAGAAACTGAGTTGAATGTAAGGAATAACTAAAAGAAATACAGCTCCTGCTTAACAAAAGCTAAAATGATTAATGGAAACATGAACAAACCTATAAAAAAACCCACCTAAAAACAAAGATTAACATGTCTTTAAAATGATCTACCATCTAGACACACACTCACAACTGGATAAGGAGTTATAGTTGTGGTATATCAGAAAAAAAAAGGTTTGGAACCACTTTTCTAGAGTAAATTACCAACGACATTATGTGTGTATGTTGTGACAGGGTGCGTGTATGTTTTGCTGTTTTTCACAGGCTGATGTGGTGAGTGTGAGTCCAGGCACACAATACACTGCAACAGTCACAGTATCCTCGTCTTCAGTCATCAGCCCTGGAGTCAGCCGCATGATCAATACCAATGAGAGCGGTGAGAAATGCACATGCTCACATTCTTTGGTTTTGCTGGGTTTGTTTTTTGGTGTCAAAGTTTCGGCAGGTTCTCTTCTGCCCTCTGCTGTTTAACTCACTCCTCCGAAGAACACATGACCGAACACTCAGGGACAGAAATTAGTACAGTAGATGTGTGTGTGTGTGCATGTGTGTGCGTGTCCATGTTTGTGTGTGCGTTTGTGTGTGTGTGTGTGTGTCCTCTCTTCTCTGTTTAATTCCTCTAAGGTAACTTAAACCTGGGCTTTTGAACCGCAGGATGAATGGGTCTGCAGTGAATGTCAGTGAAATGCCACTGCTGTGTAAGGCCTTGTTCATCAGAGATCGGCCGAAATCACACACTTACTCACAACCACACACACACATACACGCCCTGGTGATCACTCTTACAAGGACATCGAGAATATCCTTAAACTGATTCTGTGTTCTGGTGGTTTTGGTAAACAAAAGTTTGATATCACATATCGTATTTTTACTGTGATGGACAATAATGTGTTGATGTTGATGAAGAAAATGAAAAGAGTGAAAAGACTGGATGAGAAAAGACACTTACTTCCTAACTCTCTTCCTTACACATGTCCCCTCTGTTCCTCCAGTCCCTGGTCCACCTTCAAGTCTTGAAGGAGAGGCTGTTGGTTCTAACGGTATCCTGCTCTCCTGGACGATGCCATCTGATGCGAAAAATATCGACGGATATGTCATCAGGTAATTCATCTTCTTGGAAAACTTGTCGTGGGTTGTTGTATTGCTAAAACATGAGGAATGACTCCGAAGATGATACATTTTTCAAGACCGAAAAAAAGTATTCAGATCATTTAATTTACTAATAAAATAGTCATAGAAAAATTCAGAACAAATTATTGCCTACCGACATCCTGAATCTTAAATAAAGCTCCTGTCAGCTTTCATATTTTGTTAGTTTTGTGACCCTCGTAAACAAACTGGTGTTTCTTATCTCTTTGCTGATAATATCTTGTACATGCAAAAGTTGAATTATATCGTGAGAAAATCCTACTGCTGTCTTTAACACTTAAATGTATCATGTTCACTTCTTCTATGTGTGCTGTAACTCACTTATCTGGCAGTGACACACTGTCAGCGGTTACTAGCATTACTGTAAAACATGTGTCTTGTTCCTTTTGTAGGTCATACAGAGTTTAGTTTTATAACCTGTTAAAAACCCTCACAGTGGGTTAAAGTAAAAGTACAGAAGAATTTCCAGCTAAATGTAGCAGAAGTAAGAGGAAAATTACTTGTAATGCCATGTGGCCCCTTTTACAGCTCACTGGTGCTTTAATGTGTTAGCTGGATTTTGATTGTAGTAGATCTGGGTGGCGATTTTAGTTTTCTATCCTATTAAGTATGGGGGAGATTAATTAGTAAAAACATTCTTTTATCAAAGAATTGCAAGAATAGCAGATTTTTAGAACTGAATGAGAAAATCCTCATTAATAAGAAATGGCATTAACAACAAAGAATCGCTAAATATGCCAACATTGCAATATTTACCAAGTGAATTTAATGGAGTAGAAGCAGAGTCTCTCATTCAGCCCCAAACTGTTCATTAATGCATGATGTGAGTTTGAAGATGATGATCTTAAAAAAAATGGTTTCCTGCTTTAGGTACAAGGAGGTGTGTCCCTATCCTGATCCCACCTTCACACAGGTGACCAAGTACCTGGACATACCAGAGACCCTGCTCACTGACTTCACCTCGGGTTCAACATACCACATTGAGGTTAGAACGTTCAAATGCAAGATTAAAAAAAACTTTATTTTTCCTTTGGTGAATTCTTATAAAAATGAAAACCAAACAGAAAATTCTGGACGTCACAAAACACAACAGAGAGTTTAAACAAAAACTGAAAACAAAGGATACAACATACGATTAACCAATGATAGCTTTATATATAGGAAAACAACAGGCGTTTAGGTTGTATTCCCTGATGGGATACTCCATAAACAAATACATAAAAGACCAAATTCATTGAATATTACTGGATGTGAGTGTAGACACGTGAAGTTAAATATTGGAATGCATGCTGTACATATACATCAGTGTCTCTGGAAACGTGCCTCCTGTATTATCATGTGAATGTGGCTCACTAACTCAGATCCAACAGGACAAGACTTTTCTCTCGATCCGGCTGAATACTGGTAATTGATCTTGATTGCATTATTCATCAGGTAAACAGATCTATGGATCAGCCCTGGCTCTTTCCACTGTCTGTTGTCACTGAGCTTGAATGTGATCGTGCTTATTAGTTTTCAGAATTCATTAACCCACACTGACCTTCATACAAATGGACTCTGAGAGCGACACACACATTGTTATCATAACTGCCCTACTCTATTGTGTGTTTCTGTGTGTTTCTGTGTCAAGTATCGTATTACTGCATCACACCTTAGTGAGTGTTTGTGGCTCAGTAAACCCTGTGCAAAGCTGAGTTCATTATTAAAGTCATCACAGGCTACAAATACCTAACACACGATCAAAGTTATCTTTTATAGTCTTAGCAGTAAAAATCCCTTCAATGTATTCTGAAACAAATATCAGTGCTAAAAAATAAGTTTGTCTTTTTAATAATTTTTTTTCTCTCTCGCTCCCTTTAGGTAGCAGCCATTTCTCCAGTTGGAATCGGGGCCTTCAGCAAGTCTTTGTACATAAAGACAGCTGAGTCCCGTGGGTATAAACACGCATGGCCAAACACTTGCATAATGATATATAAGAAAATACATTTTTTTACAGATTCAGTTTTTGAGGTTGTATGTACATTTATCTATGTTTGAACCTCCTGCAGCTCCTGGTTTGGTGACCAACTTGACAGCATTCGCTCAAAACCACACCAACGTCATGGTAACCTGGTTCCTACCACACCGCATCAACGGCCTTATCACAAAGTTTGCTGTCAAGGCTAAACACGCCCGTACTGGGCAGACGGTCCGTACATTGGAGGTCAATGCAGAGGACATCATGACCGGAGCACTTCCACACTGCAACGTACTTCATTATACTGTTGCCCTCTGTCGTCATTCTATTTCTGTAGTTCTTTTTTTTTAAGAAACCATAGATGCTACCAAGGCAGAGTAGAAACTACATTGTTGTCTCATGTACTTTTTCTCCATGTGTATGTCCTGTATGGTCGTGAATGTTTAGGATGCAGCAGACATCCTTTCCCGTGCAACTCCCAGTCCCTTTGAGATAACAGCGCCATCATCCCCCATCACCCACTCAGCTGTACCCCCTGCAGCCTCCTGGAGTGTCCCCATATCAGTGGGAGTCGACCAGCTACGACCTTACACTGCGTATCTCTTCGAGGTGTCTGCCTTCACCTCTGACGGAGAGGGACAGATAGCCTCCACTATGGTTCGCATGCCAGAATCAGGTATGGAAAAAAGAAGCATGACAGCAATTTTTTTTGTGTTATTTGATTTACTGCATACAAGTTGATTTTTTTAAATATTTTTTTTGTACGGCAGCCCCAGAAGACCCGCCACAAAACTTGAATATATTGACTATGACATCCAGATCAATCTCTGTGTCCTGGAGCTCTCCCAGCATCATTACAGGGAAATTTAGCTACATGCTCTACCTTTATGGACCTACAGGTAATTGTTAACAATCTCTCAGACCAACTCAAATGCCTTTATCAACCACCAAGCATTACATACTCTTTTGTTTTCACCACAGGATATTTGTATGAAAACAGCACAGGAGACATGCAGTTTTCTTTTACTGGTTTGACCCCCTACACAAGCTATACGGTGGCTGTCCGAGCAAAAGCTGCTGGAGAGGTGGGTCCAGCAGCTGAGCAGGATGTAATTACACCCCCTGAAGGTGAGACCATTCTTAGAGTTACGTCACTTCCCCATTTATTTTTTGGTTTTACAACTAGCTGTCGAAAGGAAACAATATCCATGGTATTTTTTTTGAGTGTGTGTTTGCTTTGTTTTAAGTATGAGTCTATCTTGTCTGTTTGTGTGTAGCACCAAGTGCGGTGCAGGAGTTGAAGGCGGTGGCTGAGGATTCAGTTTCTATCCGTGTGAGTTGGAAAAGCCCTGCCGAGCCCAACGGTCGCATCACCCAGTACAAATTGCAGGTGCTGGCTGAGGAGGTCCTGCTGCAGCATATAACCCTCACCTCAGAAATGGTAAGCCATACATGATTGTACTTGGCAATGTAATACATAGCAACCATGCCAGAGCCTCCATGTTAATCAAAAACTGTCAGATCATTACTGTACATATACACATTTTCGGGGGCATTGATCACACTCTCTTGATTGATGTTTGAACAGCCTTTTCACTATGATTTTAATCAAACACTCCAACAACCTAATAAAGAAATATACTGCTTAACGGTGCTTTGCCGTTTTCTCACCCACAGCTTGTTTTAGCAAGCATTTGTAGCCAATGACCTCATGGATTACATTAGCCTTCACTACACTACTGCTGTTTCCACTTCCCTTTAAATGCTAAAAGAAGAATTCTAAAGTTAGAGGCTCCATTAAAAAAAACAGCCTCCATCTAAATGCAACCCGCAAGCCTTGTCCACTGATGTCCACTGATTCAACTCGACATTGTTTTAAGGGGCTGATGAGTCAAAAGTATTGAGTGCGCTTTACACTGCACCCAATCAGAAGGAATCAAAATCAGCAGACAGAACGTTAATACAACTTTTCTTCCTTCAGAACGCAACTGGTATGTATGAGGATGATACCCAACCTCCTGATGTCCCGAACAATGCAAGGCGTAAGAGGAACGCCGAGCTCAGTGAGATGACGTCCGCGCCGACTTTTACAGCAACTCTTTCAGCTCGCAGACTGCCCACCGCGGTTACTGCTTCCGCTTTCACACGTTTCTGGCTAAGAAGCGCCGACCACATTACTAACACTGAAGATCAACCAGCTGCTGACTCCATGATCTCTGATGATTCCAGCATCACTTCAGTCACTTCTTTAGCCGCTAACAGCGAAGATATTCAATCTACCGTAGTGACTGCTGCATTTTCTTTTACATCTGTGCCACCTGCTTCACTTCCACCCTGGCTTACAAAGCAATCAAATTCTCAGGATATGACCTCAGACTCCTCACAATTGGCTCTGACCCCGGGCCAGCTCCGCATATCCACACATGATGCATCCATAACAGGACACTTTTCAACACGCATTGCAGCAGCCTCTGGTAGCACAGGTGGGAGAGCACTAACACTAAACACCGCTTCTCTTAAGCCCCGATGGAAGGATTTTTAAATTGTATGATTCCTGTGTGTGTGCATACTATGTCTTCTATAACCATTTGTGTTTGCATGAATGCTGTAGGCGTGACAGTGAGAGAGGAGGTGATGGACGTTCTGTCTGAGGAGCTGTCTTACCTGGTGGCAGATCTGAATCCCTTCACTGAGTACACATTCAGGGTCACTGCGTCTACCACTGTGGGAGAAGGTCCTGCGAGGGACATTACTGAGAAGACAAGGGAGCAGGGTGGGTGGTCACATGTCGCTAAAAAACGCGACAATTAAAATAGAAAAACTATGACAAGCCCTTGAAATGTGACTATCCATTTTTGGATTTTTTTTTCATACTGTGTGTGTTGTTTAGTCCCTAGCTCGGTGCTGGAAGTGTCTTATCAAAACATCAGCTCCACATCCATACTAGTGACCTGGGTGCCACCTCTTAACCCCAATGGGCTGATCACACATTACGCTGTCTATGGCCTCAACCTGCGCAGTAATCGAGCCCTGCAGTGGGTTTCTGACACCACCAGCATACTGATAACAGGTAAACACCTTTTGATGCACACGTCTATGCAGTCATTGTGATATTTGTTATGATACAAGTGTGATACTCATGTAAACCGTCTGTGACTGATAGATCTGGACAAATATACTGGTTATAAGCTACGTGTAGCTGCGTCTACAGCTGTCGGAGAGAGCTCTCTGTCTGAGGAAGACGACATCTTTGTTTACACCTTAGAGGATGGTATGTGCTCAACTCAAACACAGATGATAAATAGTGCCATAAAAAGAAAATTGTAGTGTCGAAAAACGTAAATAGTGACACAGTGTGCTTACAGATACGTGTTTTTCAATTACCTATCAATCCAGTCATATAATTCAATAAAAAATAACTAAATTATTCATTTTTAACCCTCGTTCAGAGCCCGACTCCCCTCCCGTGGACCTCATGGTGGATGACACCAGCCCCTCCACCGCTACATTGACCTGGTCCTCACCTGAGAAAGCCAACGGAGTGATCCAATATTATGAGGTCACGTATGAGAACGAGTCCTACTCCGCGTTGATGAACACGACCTCTAACACGGTCACTCTGATCGACCTGAAGCCGTTCTCACACTACAACGTATCTGTGAGGGCGTACACGCGCTACGGCCACGGCAACCAGACATCAGAAATGTTATACCTGCTGTCCGGAGAGGACGGTACGTTGACGGATATGCACCCACCTTGGCCAAAACACACATTTTGAAAAAAACATGTAGTGACGACATCCATTCACTGTGTTCACGTGGCATCCATTCCCCTGTGACATCACGATCAGGGGGGGAATGCTGCTCATATATAAAGTGGTGTTTGCTGTGTTGAAGGTTGTAAATCATATAAATGTTGGGAACCTGATACATTTTTATCATTAAAGGGCATGCCTTTTTATTAGAAATTGGAAATTGCACCCTATTTTCAGATAAGACAACATATTTGCTTGAGATTTGACAGAGAAGAATCAGCTAACATCAGAATTCAATCCATGTCTACCTACAATTACTGTTAGCTAGTTAACTTTAGAGTTAGCAATAAAATCAAGCCTTACCGATTGCGTTATGTACAACAGCATTAACAAATGCTAATGCATGTCAGGAAGTGGTTGTTTACCTACCTTTACTGGTTTCTAACAGTAGATATTTAAGTTATTGATATATTGTTAGCTTGATTGAACATCTGTGACAGGTGAAAAAAAAAGATTAAACTAACTAATTGGAAGCTAGCATTGGTTCATTGCTAAGATTAGCTGTTGACTTTAAGGGGGTCAGCCCTATGGTCCCACAGCCCTATGTTCCCACAGCCCTATGGTCCCACAGCCCTATGTTCCCACAGCCCTATGGTCCCACAGCCCTATGTTCCCACAGCCCTATGTTCCCACAGCCCTATGTTCCCACAGCCCTATGTTCCCACATTTCTAAGAATTTTCTCAAAATTAGGCCCTATATTCCCACAGGATAGGGTAAGGGTTAGGGTAAGTTACTCTAACTTTAACTGATACAAATTTATGAAAAAGGACTAATTTTGAGAAAAACTTTAGAAATGTGGGAACATAGGCACGCTCCCGACTTGAGATAGCTGTAATGAGCTGATCAGTCCCAAAAAAAGATGTTATACCTTTAAAAAGCGCTGTTTTCACTATTCAGTATTTTAAGTTACTGATCACATTACAAAGGTTGAATACGTAACAATAAGACAGATTCACTATTTTCATATGACTTGCACACCTGGAATACAGTAGAACATAATTTCAGCTTCCCTGTGTGATCATGATGCCTGACGGAGATGGCTGACATGTGAACATGGTGAAAAGAGCAGATTTTTAAAGTGCATATTTGGTCTGTTTTCTTTTCCAGTCCCCGGCAGTCCTCCTTATGGTGTGGCTTACGAGTCGGTCAGTCCCAGCGAGGTGAACATAACCTGGCAGCCCCCTCTGCTACCTAACGGAGTGATTACCCACTACAGCCTGGAGCTTTGGAATTCAAGTCACTACTTGAACTTCACCTCACCAACCAACAGCCTCCACATCACACACCTGAGGAAGTACGCACACTACCGCGTCGCGGTGCAAACGCACACACGTGTCGGGCCCGGGAACTACAGCAGCGAGCCGCTCAACATCACCACACTGGAGGATGGTGAGAGAGAGAGGGGGGGGGGATGGAAAAGGGAGGGTTTTTGAGTTTTAGTTCCAGCACCCTGCATGGTTACATCATTGCTGAGCTCAAGGGTGTCTGATTAAATCTGACTTTTTCTCTCCTCGTTTCCTCCTCACTTACATTTCTCTGTTTCAGCTCATGCTTAACAGTGTTACATAACAGGTTTTTGTCGCCGCCTGGCACTCGTGTCTTCCATCAGGACTGAGCAGTGCAAACAACAGAGTCATTAAAACTAAACAGTCTTTCTTTTCAGCGCAGTATTCCCTCTGGCTCGGTCCTGAGACTGAGGTTCTTATTTGCCCGGTGCAAATATATTAAAAAAACACTCATCACTTCAGTTTCTATTTAAAAAGTCAGTCTACGGTCTGCTTTGTGTTACTGGAAAGTCTTTCTCCTGCAATCTCAGCTCCAGACACGCCACCTCAGTTCCTCCGGGCCACAAAGTTGTCAGACTATGAGGTAGAATTGTCATGGCAACCGCCACCTGAAGCCAATTCAAAAGTACTCTACTACATTGTCAGAGTTTGGTGAGTATCACAATTTGACCATCTCTGCAAAAAAAGAAAAGAAAAGACATCACAGCATGCTTTCTCTCTTTGTCAGGAATGAAACAACTGAGCTGTGGCAGAATGTAACTCAGACATCTGTGGTTATAAACGTAGACTCACAGAGCCTCTACAACGCCTCTGTGTCCAGCTGGACCAGGCTAGGAGACGGAGGGGTACTGATCTACATCAGCTTTACCACCACTGACGCAGGTGTTTGATGCTCGGTGAAACAGTTTTGACAGATAGCTTCATCGTCCTCACATACAAAATATTTAGATTTTTTTCTAACTTGTCTGAATGTTTGTCTGTGTCCTTTCTGTCTTTGCCTCCTTACTTGCAGAACCATTTGACCCCCGCAGAATGTGACTTTTGTAAATGTGACCGCCTCCTCCGTCACCTTGCTGTGGCATCCACCCACTGAACCCAATGGCATCGTTGTACTTTACACTATTTTCTACTCTGATAACAACACTGTGAATATGCAGGTGAGTCACATACGGCTGAATGAACCTGTACTAATCAATTTTGTATTATGATTTAAAATATCTGTATTTTGATAAATTGGTTAAATTGAGATTCAACATCTCTTCTTCCAGAGAAACTTGTCAAGATTGGCCAATCATTTTATTTTATTTTTTTAAATAGTTCACATCAAAGTAGAAAGAGGCACATATGTGGAAGTATTTAAAAACCAGGGAAGATGATTAATACCAAAACAGAGCTAAAAGGAGAGGATGTACGACTGCCATTTGTCAGTTAAACCTGATGAATATGTAAAAAGTTAATTAAAAAGCTATGAGTTAGTCAAAGCTAATTGCTAAAACATTCAATAAATAGATAATGGTGGCTGTTTTGTTGTGCAGATTCCAAATGATCAAAATATCAGTACTGCTCTAACATATCTAAATTACTTAGAGGACGAAATCTTAAATGCTTTTGGTAGACCAACACCTGAAATTGTTTGGTTATCCATTCATATGTAACCTCTCAGTATAAAAAAATGAGTACTGCTCTAATTAAAAGAGTAAGAGTTACCTCAAGAGTTTTTTTTTTATCTGCAGAGAGTTCCTGTTTCCACATTACCTGCCCCGGCCTCTCCTGGTTCAGCCCTCTCCTACACTCTGACCCGGCTGGTTGGGGGCACAAACTACTCCCTGTGGATGACCTCCAGCACCGTGCAGGGGGACGGAGGGGTCCGGAGTGATCCGATAATCATCTTCTTACCGGAGGACGGTCAGTCATTCAATCACACACACCTACATACAGTTTTAGAAATGAGTTCAAAGAAATAGACATAGCAATTAAGTGCTGCATATAATTACAACACACAGAGAGGATTACTGCACACAGTGACTCAGAGTCTCGCTGGTCACACGTCTGCACACTTTTTTCAAAACTCTTTAACTTCCTACTAAAAAATTGCATAAAGACGATGTAGCTTTCAGCCTGCTAGTTAAAGGAGAAAACAGTCCGTCTGTCCAACTGGCCTCTGACACTTTGCATCAAAGACAGCCAGTTTGTGTTTCATTTTACGATGTATGATGAACGTTCAGATAAATCAATCAAAAGAGAGAGGGGGAAAGAGAAAGAAAGAAAGGGCAGAACCATTGTATCATGTCATACAGAACAATTAAAAAAGCTTCATGCTCATTGAGAAAGGTTATTTTGTGACAGAATAAAAGCAGAAATTGTATTGTTACAATGGAAACTCAAATTTGAATAGTCTGATATATTTAGTCATGCTTTTTGCATCCTCAGAGTAAAAAGTGAAGTGAACATAAAGCTTATCTCTTTTTATGTGATTTTGGGAAAAATGGTGCAGACAGCTGCCACAGACTTTGTCACATATTTGTCTGTTGATTTTAGTTTTGAGTTCTTCTTGTCGACATTTTGCTTGTGAAGTATTCTCTGTCTCTGAATGATTACTTGTCATACTGACTCTGTATCTCTGCCTGTGCTCTAGCTAGCTGCTCAACTCTCAGCCAAGTATCGGAGCTCCAGGACACCTTGTCTCTCTCGTTCTGCCAAGCCCAGCGGGGGGGTTCACTCCCCTGGGCCTCAGACCCCCACACACACCCGGCCCCTCACATCCACTCATTCATCATTTTTTTACCTCCCCTTTTCCCTTCATCTCCCCCTTTTTCTACCTTGTTTACCATGTGTTATTTTTGGAGACACCAAGACAATGAACAGGCTGAGTATTTTCTCTTCAACTGCTTTCTTCCCTGATGTAAAAAGTTTCTCTTCATATTATTCTACATGTCTCTGAAGGAGCTCTTAAATGTCCTTGATGTTGTTTTTATGACTGTTTACTGTACTGTTTCACATTGCTTTTTTTGCTGAATTAATGCCATGCCTTATTGTTCTACTTGATGTGCTGTTGTTTGTGTTTTGTTAATCACAACCATGCTGCCAATGGTTATGACAGATAATGATGATGACTGGTGTGCTGTTCATTTCCCCTAAAGTGTCATGAGTGTGTTGGTTGATTGCTTTCCTAATTTACATACTCATAATAGGCTTTTAACCGGCGTTGTCACTTGGGTTTAATATTAGTAACGTTGGTTTTACTTGTCTTCCTTTTCAGTGCCAAGCGACTCGGTCAAAAATCTGTCGGCTCAGATCTTCAGCTCCACAGCCATCATCGTCAGCTGGGACCCTCCCCTTGAGCCCAATGGCCGTCCCTACTACCTGCTCACCTTACAGGAGGCCGGCATCATCCCAAACGTATCCGTCCAAGGGGCCCCGGCTGTCAACAAGACCATCAAGCATACCACGACTGACACTGTCTTCCTATTCACCAGACTCAGGAAGTATTTCCCTTATGTGTTCACTGTTACCCCTGCAACTGGTGCTGGCCCTGCCTACAACCATATCAGCACAATGGACCTGAGAACAGACGATGATAGTGAGTTTATCAACAACATACGTCATCCGATGGTGTATCATTCTTTAACTTGTTTTGATACTGACATGTCTGTATGTTCTTCAGTTCCTAGTTCTGCTCCATTGCTGGTATCCACCAGGAATCTGTCATCCTCCTCTATCAGAGTGGTCTGGAAGCGCCCTCTGGAGGCCAACGGCGAGATAACTGAGTATACCCTCACTCTCATTGGCCCAGGAGGATCCAACACAACCCAAACCCCCAGCACCATGTCCATTCTTACCGACCTACTGCCATACACCGCTTATAATCTCACTATCACTGCTGCAACTCGCAAAGGCTCAGGGCCTAACCTGCTGCTGCAGCTGCACACTGATGAAGGAGGTTTGTTTTTGAAGATGAAGATCCTACTGAGATGGTATTTATGCATGCAAGTAATTTTTTTAAATACACGTTCTTCCTCTACCTTTCAGGCCCCATGTCCCCTCCTCGTAACCTGACTATTTACAACCACACTGCCGTCTCTGTGTGGCTGAGCTGGGAGCTGCCCCTGGAGCCCAATGGAGTGGTGATACAGTACGGCTTCAGGATCCGAGACCTCATCACACACACTGTCACACACAGGGTAACGTTAATTTCACACACCAAAAGCTACTCCACAATAATACCAGCGCACACACCGTCACACTCTCCAGAGCCCCACTCAGTAAGAGTACACACTGCCACACAGAGGGTAGCTCTAATTTCACACCTCAAATACCACTCAGCAGTATTATTACACACACACACACACACATGTGTGCTGATACAATAAGATGTTATCGACTCAATGAATCACCGCTGGATGATTTAATCTCGGTGATTCCCTAAGTGGGGCGTGGGACCCCTAGGGGTGGCCCAGGGTTATGACAAGTGAAAACAAACGTTTTTCACTTATCGTGAGTCCTCTCACAAAAAGCAGGGCAAATTTTGTCAGAGGACTTCCAGGTGAATGTAAGGCTGAAACTGCATTAATACCAGACATCACACATTTAGAAGTTTCATGGTGCAGAATCACATTTAATTAACTTCCTCCTGAAAAGTTGCTTATTAGTTTGTTCATTTTGTTGTCACAAACTGAACTGCCATTCTGTACTTTTTGCAGCCAATGTTTATGGTAATATTAAAAAAATATATGAATTTGTTAGCAGAGAGCTTGTTGACAGTGTGTCTACTGTGTGTCAATATGTGTTGCTTTGTATAGTGACAGTTGGGAGGGCAAAATCGGCCCAGCAGAAAAAGTTTTTAACTACTGTCCTATGTGGCATTTTTATCCGTGTGTGTGTGTGTGTGTGTGTGTGTGTTTGTGTGCACAAATATAGAATTCCTCAGGTCCTTCAACAACAGAGTATCTATCAGGCTTCAGGCCTCATAGCTCCTATGAGATCAGTGTTTACAGTTACACCAGGGTGGGCCATGGGAATCAGTTCAGCAGCCCGGTGACCTTCAAAACTAATGAGTCAGGTAACGTAAACAACTTCTGCTGGACAACCAATGTCATTGAGGTGCTCAACATTTGTGATTCAAAATTGATTGTCTTACAAACCAAAAGTATTTTTCAAATCAATGTCATAACCCTTTTATATATCGACTGCCTATTTCTTTCTAAGATATCTTGAAAAAGAAAATAAGAAAAAAAAAAAACACAAAAGTGGACCTGACAGCGTCCCATAATGATGAATAAAATGTCTGGACTCATTTTAGCCACAGTAATCTCCAAAAGCACTCAGCCAACCACTCAGCCTGTTATGCCCGAGTTCAAATGTTTCCAGCAGAGTACGAGCAAAATTAAAAACTGATAAAGTCATCTTTTTAAAAACAAAGTTTATGGCTGTTACTTCAACCTGATTCAAATAAAGGCATCCTATTACACATTTCCTGATGCTTGTGTTTTGGTAATAGCGCCACACATCCAGTAAGTTCTGCTCCTTTCACAAAGGATGCAAACTAAAAAATAGATGAGAATGTTGAAAACATCTCATTTAAAAAAAGAAAAACATCATTGTTTTTAATTCTACAATCTGAGCCAGAGAAGTTAAGTTTGAGTCTTTTGTTCAAAAGCACATCTTTATGTCATTGTTAAAACTCATCAGTATGGAGCTAGACAAGGCTCATGTTATCTCAGTTGCAGCTGGTGATTATTGCAGAATTCCTGGCTGTGCAATCAAAAGTAAATAAAAGGTGGTAGTGATTGTTAGTAAAAAAATAATAATAATAATAATAATTTAAGACATATTACAAATCAGTAAAATTGTCTACATTCTGCTCATTTGCCTTTTTGTGTGCAAAGACTATTTGTTCATGATGAAATAAAGTGAAATACTAAAATGAAAGTTAGTTTTCTTCTCCTAAAGCGACTGTAAGTATGCAGAATAATAAAGCTAATGCTAGAATCACTTCTCTGTGTTCAGTGTCTGACGCTGTGGGTAACCTGTCTTGCTCCGGTGTCAGCTGGGATTCAGTTCAGCTGTCTTGGGAACCTCCAGCCAAACCTAATGGGCAGATTCTTTTTTATGAGATTCTTCTGGAGGTAGACTCACAGTCCTACACACACCAGGCTCCCATACCAGAGTACACCGTGATGGGGCTTTTGCCAGACCAGGAGTATGCACTCACAGTGACTGCAGTGAACTCTGCCGGACCTGGAGACAGTGTAAACTGTACTGCCGCCACTCTTTCTGAATCAGGTCAGCAGGTCTAATATAACGTGCAGCATGTTGGGTTCTAATTTCTAATAAACATTAATGAAGAAAAAAACACTCAAATCAATCCTCTTTTTCTACCTTTACAGCCCCTGCTGCCCCTCGCTTCCTCACCGTCTCTCAGATCACAACAAACAATGTGACACTTCGGTGGGCGCCGCCGCTCTCTATTCCAGGCCTGCTGAAAGAGTACCACATCATTGCACAGCTGCTTTCCACTGTTTGTGAACCAAACATGCTGACTACTGCACAGCCAGACCCAGAGGACGAACTGACCCCAGACTGCGTGGACTCTGAGTCCTCGGTGTCGTCGAACGCTTCGGATGGCACAGAAGAGAACCACAGCGTCACACTTCAATCGCTGGCTAAATACAGATACTACCGCTTTAAAGTGGCAGCTGTGACCAACGCTGGGGTTGGAGAATATACTAACTGGAACTATGCACGCACCCTGGCTGGAAGTAAGAACATGGCAGTGGTGATATGACCTTTCTTTCTGTTGCCAGGGGAGACCTGCTGGTTAGTCTGACTGTGTCTGACCTCTCCTGGTATTTCAAAATATGCAGTGAAGTCTTTGGTACTTTCACTTGGACGCTGGAGGAATATCTTAAAATGAAGGCCGATTGTTTGATGAATATTAGATCATTTAATTTAGTAATACAACATGTGTTATTTAAACAGATTATTTCTTCTAAAAGTACATTAATTAAAAAAATAATTAATATATATTTTGTTTTTACAGACAAAAGTCACAAAGTGCTTTACTCCGATAAAACATAAGAGCATTTAAAAAAAAAAAAAGAAAGGGTTGCCAGATACAATTTAAAGTGAAATGCTGAGTTTATTAAAAAGACGTTGATAATTAACCAAACACCTGTCTAAACAGATGTGTTTTTGCCCTCTTCATTAAAGCATCTATAGATTCTGCAGAGCACTCATAACCATTCTGTGTTTGTCCTCTCTTCCCCCCTCAGACCCTGATGACCCTCCTCGTGACCTGAAAGTGACTCGCACCTCCAACAGCCTTCGCATTGAGTGGGACACTCCAGCTGTTCTCTCTGGACCGACCTCATATCTCGTGCAGGTGAAGTTTTTGTTTTTTTTCCCCGGACATGCACCCAAAAGTAGTCAATATGCAATTGCTCCGACTCTTGCTCACTTAATACTAATTCTTTCCCTGAACTCAAATGTGTTACCAGGTTGAGGGTTCTGATTTGAACATCTCAACGGTTCGAGCTCCGGGAGAGTTGATGACCGTCGTTGTGACTAACTTAACCGCTTTCACTCGTTACTATGTCACTATCACTGCCTTCACTGGTCCCCTGGAGCACGCCGCTGGGGACGGGAAGGCCATCGGACCGATTGAGTTTCAAACACTGGAGGAAGGTAGGAAGACATTTAAATGCTGTAGCACCTCCAGCTGCTGCTTCCAACGTGTAACTCTGACCAAAAAAAATCTAAAACACTTCAATTTTTTTGTCTTGTATCATTTCTACTCTTTACCCAGAACCCAAAGACCCTCCCAAGAATGTGATCTTATCGGTTATCCCAGAGGAAGTGAACCGTGTGAAGGTGACTTTTGCCCCTCCAGAGGAGCCCAATGGAAACATAACGGACTACTTTGTGTATATCTATGAAAAGGGCCGGCTGGTGAAGAACACCAGCCTTAACATCACCCAGAGAGATCAAAACATGCTTACTGGAGTCATAGAGGGCCTGAAGGGAGGACACAGCTACAGTATACAGGTGAAGAACATGCACAAATCACACACATACAGGCATGCACATTCAGATTTACCCTAAGTGGCTGCACAGCTAAAGGTGCAGAAGAATCAACCTTACAACCTTTGGCCTTTTTTTTTTTTTGTAAATTGACTCCTGTTTGGTTGTTTGTTCCTGTTTGTAGATTTCAGCAAAGAACGGGGCAGGTAGAAGCCCACCGAGCCCACACGTCCAGATCACCACAGGGATCAAAGGTAAGAGTCTCTTTTGTGTCCCCCATTATGCAACCATGTTGTTTTTCTCTTTCTTGTGACAACAGTGTCCAATAGTAAAAGACTTTTTAACAGAACAGCAGCGTGTAGGCTTTCTCTGACACAGCAAGAGTAGCTCAGTTTTACCCAGATGTGTGCTGTGGGATGTACAGGTATTTCTTCTCAGGTTTTTGTAAATGCAACAAACCAAAAGGCGCATCTTTACACATAATGTCTTCATATAATATCCTCTGTGTGTGTGTGTGTGTGTGTTTTTTAATGCGTGTGTGCGTGCTCCTCTGTGTTCACACGTGCGTGTTTTCTAGCACCGGCCAAGCCAACCCAAAGACCCCAGGCAGTGCTGGGCCATGGAGGGGTTGCTATGGTAACCCACAGGAGTATCACCATCCGCATGCCTGCCTGTTTCTATAGTGACGACAATGGACCAATCACAAAAATCCAGGTCATCGTAGCCGAGTCAGGGGGTATGACTCTTCAAAAACATTGACAGCTATCGCTTTTTAGTTGAACACACTTTGGGTATTGGTTGTGTTTTGTTTTTTTTTGCTTCAAGGCCTCAAGCAGAAACTTGTCTTACAGTACGTTATCCGTTCTAAGATTGACACAAAATGAGCAAAAGCCAAAGGGCTTAACGTCAGCGTAAATTTGAATCACTCCCCCGTGCGATACCTTCCTTATCTTACTCCCCTCTCGTCACAGTGAAGGACATGCTGAACCTGACCAACTGGAAGAATGCTTTCTTTCTCCGTCCTGCCCCATACCTGACTGACAAGGGGTTCCCCAACCCGCCGTGTTTACTGAGGGACGGGGCATCACACCCGGATACACACGACAGAGCCGGTCACAGAGTGTCCAGAGACGTCCGGCCTCAAGTGAGATTCAATCAAACTACGTCAGGAGCGTACGTGATCGGAGGGAATGATGACTGCTTGAAGGAGAACAACACTGACAATTTGTGCAATGGACCTCTGAAGCCAAACACAGTCTATGTGTGAGTGCACCACACACTCAACAACCTATAAAATGTTGTGCATGTATGTATCATATTATCATGCTGACACTAGATTGTTTTTTTTTTAATCAGGTTTAAGTTTAGAGGAACAAACATCAATGGCCAATCCACAGATTCTGAGTACTCTGAGCATGTCAAAACTGCAGGTATTTATATTCAACCCTGTCTTACTCTACATTAAAAAGTAAGAAAATAACCTGTTTACTTTGTTTTATCAGCTTTGGTTGATCTTTGTCTGTGTTGTGTTGTCTATTTCTCCCCCTCTTTGTAGTGGATGGATGGCTGACCAGAGATGAGCAGATCATTCTGGGGGTTCTGCTCTCCTTCTTCTTATCTGTTTTACTCATCATGATCATCTGTGGCTCAGTCAAGTAAGATAGGATCAGACAACATTATTACATTACATTAAGTACAAATATACACTTGCATTTCAAAGTTATCCAAAAATCTAACATCTTTTTTCTAATTATTAACATTTTTTTATGAACCTTGTAATTCATCATTATGCTTTATTGGCACGTCAGGATCCATCAGCGCAAGAAAGAGGGTGGTACCTACTCACCCAGAGAGGCTGAGATCATAGAGACCAAGTGTAAACTGGATCAGCTGATCGCTGTGGCAGATCTGGAGCTGAAACAAGAAAAACTCAACCGGTGTGTGTTTTACTTTCATCTTAAAGTGTGTAACTTCATGAAAAATAACACACACACACACACACACGGTTTTTGGCTGCCAAAACTTGGAGCAGCTTACATTGATTTTGCTGCTCCAGACGGAATCTTATTCGCATAGAAAGAAAATATATTGTCTCTCTTCTGCAGCCAACTTGATGTGCACACCGTGACAGCGCGACATCTTTTCGAGTTGTAGTTAGTGCAGAAAATAGAAGCAGCAGCACTGTAGAACAAAACAGCATCATTGAAGCTTTATAGTTTATTCAGTTCTCTGCAGAACAGACATCCTGTCTACATCTCCCCAACCATCCTCTCTCATATAAAGTCAGTGTCACACCTTTTGTTCTTTTTTTATGCACAAGCCGTTGAACTGTTAACAGGTGCAACAACCACTACAGCAAGATGCAAAGGGAATGTCAGTGTTAGTTTTGGTTTTAAGAAGCCCCCCCCCTTATGAAAAGATAATGTAGGAACTACAGAAAAGAACATCTTTTAATATGAGCATTAGAGAAATGTTGTATTTTTATTCACCACCATGGTATTACATTCAGTACAATATGATGGATCACCCAGTGATTATATAAAGCCTTCTGAAACCCTCCTTCCCCCACTTCTGAAGATTAGCCTCATAATGACAAAACATGAAAACAAACTAAAAATAGAGGGGTCCATGTAGGTGTGAAATGTGTCTGGAAATGGATTCATTAAAACCATAAAACCCACAAGAGAGAGAATAAGATGTGAAGCACCAAATAAAAGTGTGTCCTCTCGTTGGATAGCTCTCCCTTATCTCTTTTCTGTAAAAGCTCCCTGCTTGGGCAAATATTTATCTGTGTCTATTAGATAATTTGTGCTCTGTTTCACTTATCTCAGAGCAAAGCTTGTTGGTTTTTCACAATAGCATGTTGTGCTCACATTTAAGCAGCTTCACTTGTCTTTTTAGTTCACATTAATACTGTACATACCACCTGTCTTAACACAATGTTAATGTAACACTCTTCTTCTTACTTGCCACATTTCAAATATCTTTTCATGCACAAAAAACTTTTGCATTGACCTGCCTTGGCTTTGTTTTTCTCTCACTAAGCACTTTTCTCTCACCAGGTATTCTTCCTTCTTCTTTAGGCGGAAAGAGATTTATGTGATCCAGTAAGTTGATCTTTTTGGCCTCTGTGTGTGCATCACTTTATGCTTTCCATCTTTTATACGTCGCTCTGTGTGCCACTTAATGTTATCTATTTAAGCGTATACCCTCCATCTGTGTTGTTTATCAAACCTTTGGTTGAAATGGACTGAAAGAATCGGGAACATCAGTATTTTTACTCTTCCTACATCACTGGCGGAGGTAGCGGAGCTGTGCTCACACTCCTCTCCTTGAGACCATTTTAATTTGTTTACCCACTCACTATCTTGAAATTGCTTGGAAGGCTCAGCTATCTTAGGGAACACCAACAGCACGCTTTATCACTGGCTAAGGATCTGCGTAGCTACAAGTCCTCAGGAATGTAAAGAAAAGAGTCGGGGGGGGAAGCCGTATGACTCACTCAAGTTTGCTGACGTCAAATTATTCCATTAGAATGAAACATCAAAGTCAGTGTTCGTATTTAATCTAGTGGATATGATTACAAATGGTTGAACATGCATGGAGGCTACAGTCCTCAGCACAGCGAGCGTTGGTTCAAATCCGACCTTGGCCCTTTGCTGCATGTCACTCCACACTCTCTCCTCCCGACATTGCCCGTCTCTCTTCAGCTGTCATATCAAATAAAGACAAAAATGGCCAAAGAAAACTTAAACTCTTTAAACCCACTTTGGTTTAACGTACATTCTTTGCAAAACGGATCACTCAATCTGTCACTGACAGAATATCCACAGTGTGGACTGTGATTATTGACTTCATTTGTTTATCTTGTTTAATGCTCGTTGTCTTTTATTGTGCAGGTTGCTCAGCTACCGGAAATCATTGAAGTAAGTCATCCTGCATGAAATAACGTGAACATGCTCGCACACAGAAGCTGCAACCTGCACATTATTGTTACATGTTGTAACCTTAAAAACGTTTTGTTGTAGAGTTCTGTCTCTGTGTCTCATGTTCTCTGTGTTTCTCGGACAGGCCTGTGAACAAGAAGTCTTTTCTGCAGCACGTAGAGGATCTTTGTAACAATGACAATTCCAAGTTCCTGGAAGAGTTTGCTGTAAGTGTTGGCCTGTAACCTGTTAATCAAAGATCACAGTAGAGAAAAAAGAATAGACAATTCCATAGAATTGACAAAAAGTATGAAGTCTGCTATTGGTAGAAAAGGTACAAATAAAGGAGAGTGCTGGACAATGAATGCAAATCAATCAATACAAGCTTCATTCTTGTTCAACACCAAAAGGGGCCAAACACATTTTTTAAATCGGCATGCATAGAGAGAAAAAACAAAAACAGCAGCTGCAAAAAAGCTAAACCTACCCTTGTCTAAAAATACACAATGCTTTTCTTTTTTCATCAATACCAAAGACATAGTCATTACAAACTGCAGACATCTGAAACACGAACATGTAATTATCTACCAGCTGAGGGACCTGTGGCACTTTCTTGAAAGAAATTGCTTGACAACTCATATTTTAAACATTAAAATAAGAACTCAAATCGTTCTCTTTTCTCAGTTGCTTTGGGCACATTTGTAAAAGTTCTCAGCAACGACGATGGGTTACACAGGACAGCTCATACATGTAGTGAAACACTTGAGTTTAAGTGCAGAATGCTGTAACTCACCCCACACTGTACCACACTTTTTTTTCTGAAGTTGTTTTAAAGTGAAAAGTCTGAAGATGGTGATATTATGAGTCCAGGTTTTCACATTCCACTTTGTAAAGCAAAAGAGCAATTGGATTTGCATCTCAAGTGAGAAAAAACATTTCGGGAAGGGTACAGAAAAAACTGACAATTAACAGAGCATTTCACAAAAGTAGAAAAGTAGCCTCTAAATACCAAATAATCTTTCTGGGAAAACAAAGCACTGGCCTGCTTTAAGTGAAAAATAACAACAGTTAACAAAATAAAGCAAAATAAAGTTTGTGTGATCAAAATCACCAATGTAGACAAATCAATGAATTTTTTATTCGGAAATAGACACAATCTTTTTTTAAATCAAGAAATATAAAACCAATCATTGATCACAATGTAGACAATTTGGCTTAGGCATTTTAGGAAATGTGCAAAGCAACAAGTAAATTGGAAGTGCTTTTTCTCAACTGTAATCATCAAATTGAGCCATAGTAGAAGTGGGAAACTGTGAGTCTCAGATCTAACTTGAAGCATTTTGTTTTAACAAGGTCCTGACTTTTTAAATGCATCTGTTTCTGTGTAAAAAAAAAAAATGATGCATCATATCTTCACAGGAGCTCCCAAAACTGCTGCAGGACCTGGCAACCACAGACGCTGACCTGCCCTGGAACAAATCCAAAAACCGCTTCCCCAACATCAAACCTTGTGAGTGGTCTGGCTGGATGAAAAAAGTGTTCTGCTAACTGCAGTATTTTTAGTTAAAAAAAACAAAACAGGCCTATCTTCTTTCTCAGTTTTGCTTTTTGCCCTTCACCTACATGATGTGCGTGTAACCACCTCTTTTTCTCTGCTAACTGCGGTATACCACAATTATTTTTGTATATGAGCAATTACCGGTACTTGAACTACAATTACAAATGCATATTCATGTTTTTCTAATAAGCTTTTTTCTTATTTCACTGTGTGTCCAGACAACAACAACCGAGTGAAACTGCTGTCAGAACCGGGCACTGCAGGCTCTGACTACATCAATGCCAGCTTTGTCTCAGTGAGTACCTGGGGGGGGGGGGGGTCGCTTCCACTTGAGTCATGATCAGGTTGTGAGAGTTGTTATGCAGGCATGAGACATTGTTGCAATCAGAGGCGTTTGTTCCATACAATTTCCTGTCCTTTTGTGTGTTCCTTCAAAAAGAGAGATTTTGCCAAAGATAATGTAAAGTATGCTGTACGTCGCAAATATAACCTCCCTCTCTTCTCTTTTTTCCTCTGTTTCCAGGGCTACCTTTGTCCCAATGAGTTCATCGTCACCCAGGGTCCTCTGCCTGGCACTGTGGCAGATTTCTGGAGGATGATCTGGGAAACGGGAACTCACACCATCGCCATGCTCACACAGTGTTACGAGAAAGGCAGAGTGCGTCATGAGATATTTGTCACTGTTATGAAATAAGATTCAGAGGAAGTATACCAGGATGATTTTTATCTGCTAGGAAAAGCTGATGTTGGTGTGTATTTGTGTGCGTTTGTGACATTTCAGATTCGGTGTCATAAGTACTGGCCAGAGGACAATAAGCCAATGTCCGTGTTTAGTGACATTCTCATCTCCAAAGTGTCAGAGGAAGTCTTTCCTGACTGGACTGTCAGAACCCTCAAAGTAGAAAAGGTGACAAAGCTTTAACATATTCTTTGAATGTACGTACTCTTCACTCTGAAACTCCCAAAAACACACACTAAATACTTCATTAAATACATTAAATACTTCATTATTCACTAATTTACCAACTAGCCTTGTGACTGAATCATAATAATGAAAGTGAAATACTGCAGGGGCCTTTTGTTTGAAATGAAACAGGTTTTAATTCATATGGTAATTATTTGTGGACAAGAAGTAAGTTAATTAGTTCAGATCACTGTCATGGCTGTGGGGCAAATACGAAGCTGTTTCATGTCTTTATGCTAAGCTAAGCAGCGCTAACAGTTTCCTGGCTTCAGATTTATTTTAACAGTTGGATATCACAGTGATATTGATCTTCTCATTCAACTCAATGTGATCACTTTTTTCACCTGTGTTACATGTTAATTAATGAGTATGCAAGTATGTCATTCAACAAAATCTTCATCTTGCAGGTTCCACATTATAAATTAAACTAAGGCAGGGAAATACGTTTGTATAATTCTTACTTCTCGTGTGACTTCTTGCGTGCAGCACGGCCACTACATTTTGGTGCGTCACTTTAACTACACATCGTGGCCTGAGCACGGCGTCCCAGAGTCCTGCAGCACCCTCATCAAGTTTGTCAAAGCTGTTCGAGCCCACCGACACGACAACAGCACCATAGTGGTCCACTGCAGGTACTGAGCAGTGATGAAAAATAGACACTGCATGGTTCATCATTAAACAGCATACTTTAAATGATGTAATCATCCACTTTTTTTTAATTTTCGTGCTGTTTTACACATCTATAAACAACATTAACTGAGCAGGAGACGGTATAATGTGTGAGTGTGTGTGTGTGTGCTGTTCTCTCCCTGTTTCTCAGTGCTGGTGTGGGGAGAACAGGTGTGTTTGTTGCTCTGGACCACCTCATTCAGCACGTCAGAGATCACGACTTTGTGGATATATATGGCCTGGTGGCTGAACTCCGCAGTGAGAGGATGTGTATGGTGCAGAATCTGGTGAGTAATTCCATAAATAAATGTTGTTTTCTTCTAATCCTGCGGTTAAAATTCACAACCAAATAGAGGATTAACAACATGCAAAACACAGAAGATTCGTACAGCTTTTTGTCTCAAGTTGTTCCAGTAAAAGTGGCAGCGTGGTTGTCCTACTTATTACTTCTTGCCCTGCTGTGATCCTGTCCCCCATGAGGAAATATTTGAAAATTCATTTTTTTCTACGAAGGGAATGATCTGGCAGTGGATTAAAGACATGTGCAGAGCAGGATTCCCCCTCCTGAAGCAGCATGAAACTATCCTGAAATTACCTTATTCAGTCATTACTTAAGCATCAGTGGTGCGTTTCACAGTCTGTTGGGACGCTCAGCCCTGTGCCTGAGCTTCTTCAAAGTGTTATTGTCTTATTATTATCTCTGGTTGCTTTGCACATGACTTGGTGTCTGCGTTTCAGCAGTGAGAGACGAGCGTGCAGTGTCTGCAGCTACAAGAGGGGCGTGTAACTCATGAGGGCATAATTCTCTGTGACAGTAGTGTTCAGTGTGCCAAACAGCCAACCATTAGCATAGCAGCTTAGCTTTAAGAGGCCATCAGTTGTAAACTCACAAATGTCACCATTGAGACAAAAGGCCAAGCAGCAGCTTTAAACAATCCTACAGTGTAATACTTTGACCCAAAACTCGTATTTAGAAGCAGAAACAAAAACCACCAGATCCTCATAAGTCATTCATAGTTCTACTTTCTTACAGTGCTATCTGTTTTTATGCGAAATTAGATATTTAAGGGAAAGTATCTTTGTACTTTCAGAGGACATTTACAAGAAAATTGGATTATTTAAGGGTTATGTTCAATATAAAGTAGGGTCATTGGTTTCGCTCAGTTGGCAGAGCAGTAGAGGAGGCTACTGTCCTCATATCATCAATCAACACTTAACGATCAATCGACACTTAACAAAAGAGCAGGGAACAGAGCTTTCTCTTTGTTACATTAACCAGTGCTCATACCACTGGTTGCAGGTTCGACGCCGGGCCTTTTTGCTTTTCGGTGCATGTCATTCCCCACTCTCCCCCATCTCTCCTGTCACTCTTCAGCCGTCCTATCAGATAAAAATTCTAATCTTAGCAAGACTGTTCTTATTGCTCGCCTGCTGTATTAAACTTCTATATTATTCCAACCAGAAAAGGTTGTCCCTACGTCCTTTATTTAAGTGACACCATGGAGTCATGAGGCATATTTTTTAAATATATACATATGCTGTAAATTAAAACTTAGTAGGTAGAGTATGTCATATCTCACAGCACAGCGGGGGCTTGTTAAATTATTTGTTGGAAGGTCTAGACTCTAGGGGATTTAATTTTAGTTAAGCTTAATGTTCACTAACTGCTGTTTTTCTTTTTTTAAACCTTATAAAGGATGCAGACAACATCTTACCTCTATGGTTCCACTTGGTCACTGCAGGTTTCTTGTGTCAACAGACAGCCACTGAGCTCAACATTGGTTTCAGTTCATTTAGAATAACAAATAGACACAGGCAGAACAAGCAACCTCCAGGGATGACGGTTATTATTCTTCATCGGTCAAACCAAAGAGTTGCTGCACATAAATCATTATCAGCATGCCACTCTCAAGTGTCTATATCTCTCCACTCAGCCAGAGAAGGAAACTAATGAGCGGCTTTATGAGGCAAAAAACGCCTTGTTCTCAATGAGCTTCTTTGATTTGCAGTCATGGGACGTTATCTTGAAGCATGGTACCAAATCCTGTTATATCTCCATGAATTTGGCTGTTGCAAAATGAAGAAAAATGTATTCTCAATATCAAAATTCAATCTGGCTTCAAGTTTAGAAAATTGTTACCGTAATTGTTACCGTAAATGTCCCGTAATTACACTCCTTAACTAGAATTCAGTGACATAATCTTGATCTTGTGTGAGTAATTCACAATCTAAAATCCATGTTGTTTTCCACAGGTTTCTAAAGACTATGGTAATGTTGCTGTTATGTTTTTTTTTTTTTAATTTGTTCTGCTTCATTATTGTTTGGCCTTCATCAGACACGACAGTGCTGAGAAAAAAAAATCCCTGTCAGGACCCTAAACATGGTTGTTGTGATTTCATGTGTGTCAACAGCCACAAAGACAGTCTGCAAAAAAAAAGTTCAGGGTGCTTTGTCTTTTATTCTTCTTTCTTTTTCTTTTTTAAACCGGAATCAAACATTTTTTCTTGGCATTAGCGATGGTGATACTGTGAACATTATTTGTAGAATTTGTGAGGATTTTTTTTTCCCTGAACTCTTTCCTTCTTACCTCCCTTTCCACACATCCACCTGACACAGCCTTCACCATCAGAGCACCAATCAGAACACTCACACACCAACCACACGTCAACAAATATTCACTCTGATTTGTTGAAAAATTGTTCTAATATCTGGTCTGTAATCATTAATCATTGTAATCGTCCGTTTTTGTCTTTTTGTCTTTCGTCTTGCAAAAAAAACAATTGTGACATAACTTGCTGTGTATCTGTTTTGTGTGTGTCAGGCCCAGTACATCTTCCTGCACCAAAGTACGCTGGAACTTCTGAACAACAAAGGAAACAGCCAATCCATCTGGTTTGTCAGCTACTCTGCTCTGGAGAAAATGGACTCGCTGGACGCCATGGAAGGTAAACAACAACAAACACACACTGTTAATAAACACACACTCCACACAGCACAGTGCTCACTCCACACCTCTGTTCTGGTCTGCAGGTGATGTTGAACTGGAATGGGAAGAGACCACTATGTGAGGGACACTCTGACAGGAAGGAGAGAGACATTTGTATGATTTTTTTTAAAGGTCACTTGGATGTGATCTGTGCACAGAACACCTCCATGACTCAACGTTAGAGGGAGCAGGAGGAGATGAACAGCACAGTCTGAACTCAACAGCTTTCCAGTCGACTAAGACTTCGTCGCTCCACTTCCGCCCACTTCTCAGCACGGTCTTACCGTTAATGAACCTCTTGTCCTCTTGTTTATCAAAGAAAAAGAGAAATACAGAGAGGAGACAGGGACAAACGTAACCAAGTACGTCGGGGAGAAAACATTGAAACGTTGAACTGACCGTCAAAGCTCTATCACATCTTTATGCGTACATGTACTTTGCACAAATTGATTTCACTGTTTATTGTAATTGCTGTATAATGTTGATATGTTTTTGTAAGATAATTTATTCAGCCAAATGGTATTTTATGTTTCAAGTTCAAGTATTCCTGCTTGTTTCACATTTATGACAACATTTCTGTTTGGTTTATCCTTTCTCAAGAGTGATTTGCTAAAATAAAAAGTACTTGTATTTATTTATTTTTATTGCTTTGACACTTGACCAAAACACTTTCGTCTTTTCCTGAAAGACTCTTGACTACATGCGGCTGATTTGGCATTCCAATATGAAATGAACAATTTGCTGGTTTTATTGTTTAGAGAGCAGACTCGCCACTTTACACAGATACACACTCCACAAGCAGAATGCAGATTGAATATTGCTTGACGCTGACCTCATTCATTACTGCATGATTTCAGAGCAGGAAACACTGATTTCCCATAAGCTTCTTTATTCCGCCACCTTCCGCTGGCACACCTGGACGTGCTGCAGATTTATTCATTAGAAAGGCAGGGAGTGCTAAAGATTGCAGAGACTGTGGGAGGATGCTGTTTTGATGCCATTCAGACAGACAGACAGACAGACAGACAGAGAGGGGTCAAAGAGTGGTCGAGAGTAAAAACTACTTTATTTTTTCATTCTCTTCAAACAGAAAAATTAGAAATATTCCATTAGTAAACATGTTGGTCTTTAAGAAATCTCCTTTTTAGAAATATCGTGAGGGTGCAAAGATTAATGACAGTGCTCCACGGTGAGGAGGATGCAGATTGGTGCGTTTCCATGACAACCACGGAGAAGTTACAGGAGGAGGGGGGGGTCAGACAGAAAAAAGGGAGAAGATATTGGTAGAGTTAGAGTGTGTGTGTGTGTGTGTGTGGGGTGGGGTGGGGGGGGGTGACATCAATCAACTCAACATGCCCTGACAATAATGGTACAAAATTATAATCAACCCCCTTCCCCTGGGTGTACGCTGTAAATGAAAAGAACAAAAAATCAGATCTCATGCTGTTTGTATAAGCAAGTCAGAGTTTACAGTACACAACATGAAGTCGCTGACTTGAGAAATCAAGCAGATTTTAAGATGGTCGGAAGCTGGATTTGTTGTTTTGTTGCTTTGGCAGCTATGTGCATGTTTGTGTGTTTCTCAGGGTGTTAGGCTGTGTATACACGTATAAATATCAGTGTTTATATTATATATATATATATATATGTGTGTGTGTGTGTGTGTGTGTGTGTGTGTGTGTGTGTGTGTGTGTGCGCACGCACTGTGATTTACTGTGCATATTCACCAAGCACAGCATAGCCCTTGACACACCCGATAACAGGTGACACAGCCATCTCTTAATAATCCTATAATAATAATAATATGACGCGGCCATTAAATGATGAATGCAGATCTGTAATAATATCAGTTTGTGTTACCATGGTAACTGGAGTGTGTTCTATAAAAGCTGCCTGTTTCCCGTCCCTTTGTAGCAGTAGGATTTAGGACACCCCCTGATATTAAATGTGATTAATAATAACTATAATAATAACTATAATATCCTTTTTTCTTTTAAACTAGATCTTCTCTGTACAAATACATACGTAGATACACACACCGGGCAAACCAATTACTTTGTTAGAATAAATCTATTTGACCTATTTACAATATATCCAATATATTCTGTGGTGCAAAAGGTACAAGACATGGTTTGGTGTGTCTCTCCGATGGATGATTTATGATCTGCTGTACAAACTGGCTCGAGTTCGAAAACATCGACACCGAACAGACTACACATGGATGAAATGAGTGATTATTTCATGGACAGCTTCGGTTTTTCACCCTGATAAACATTCAGTATAGGAATGCATCTCTGCTTTTATAACATTTCAAGTGTGCAAGAAAATATAGAATACTTATTTTCTGTGAGGTGGCGTTGGTCTACCCTGTGTGGAGCTACTATCATTCTTTTCTTCTTTTTTTTTTTTAAACTAAACCTAGGAGTTTTCAGGGCAGATATATTGCCTTAGTCCAAAGGTTATAACATTATTAACACTGGGAAACCTTTAAGGAGTAAATGTACAAGAGAGAGAAAAAAAAAGGCTTCATCTGGCTGTTTTTAGCCTTTGTTTTGGATGAATTAGCAGCCCTACTCTCTGCTGCACGAGTAAGCAGAATGAACACATGCTACACAAGTACACTGCTTCCAGTACAACGTAAGAGGTGTACATATTACAAGCTACAGTGAAATCCTTTCCTGAGCTCCTTGGGAACCAAAACGCCACAGAATCAGGGGGAGTCACACACTACCGAGGAGATATGTGCTCACACAAGTTTAGCAAAACACGATGAAGCACAGAAAAATATGATTGTCGTTAGGATATGGTTTTGGGTATGTTTGGTGAGTAGCAATGTCTTTGCTTAATACACAGCACTGCACATGACAAGGTAGACATGTCAGCACATATTTTTCCCTTCTTCCTTCATGCATACTTATTAACTGTTCCCTGTAAAATGAGGGAAATACATAAGCTGGTACTCCTGTTTTTCACATTATGCCAAGATGAGAATAAAAAGATAGTGAGGAGAAGCTTTACGCTCTGCTGAGATGAATCCTCACTCCTACTGAAACCCACCAAAAATAGAGTTTTTTTCTGTCATATGTAAAGCCATCATTTGTCCTTTTAGGGCTGCCATCCTCCCTCTGCTTTATAGTCGGCTCACTGACATGATCGAAGGGCGAGGTGAAATTCAAAAATGTAGAGTCACAGATTTTTGTTAAGCACGTGAAATCTAGAAAGACAACACCATCGGCTACTGGGTGACATGTCGGAGACAAAAGAAAAGAAGAAAAGTTGTCTCTTGGAAACACTTCCTGTTGTTCAAATGCCACCACTCAGTCAGGACTCTGGATAGATACCTGTTTCCTTTTCCTTTGTGATGCATACTTCGTAACTTCTTTTGCTTTTATTTGTATTTCAGAGTGAGTCAACTCGTGCTACAGCATGTCTGTGTTGTGTGTATGTGAGGGTCCTCTCTGGCCCCCGGGGTTCATAAAGAAACTGCTGAGTCAGACAATGCTGCGGGAGCCACTGGAGTTGCGCCTGCGGGTGAGAGGCATGGTGTGGTGGAAGGGCATGGGTGAGTCTGGAGGGCAGAACTGGTGGGGGTGGTTGTAAGGTGGTGGGGGAGGTGGCAAGGGGGGCTGGGGGCCGTCCCCCTCTCGGACATGCACAGGCGTGGACAGGGCGGACTGGATGAGCTGATGGGCGGCTGGGCCTTGGCTGAGGAACGCTTCCATACGCCCTCGCCCGCTCTGGTCCACCACGATCACCTTGACAATCTGCTGGCATTGGATGAGTGTTTCTGGGCGGAGCTCTCCAGCTTGAATGGGGCTGAGCAAGGCGGGTGGTGCAGCCAGGGCCAAAGGCGTGGACTCAATACTGGGCTGGCTCAGTTGATAGGTCTGCAGCCTGTTGTGAATTGACACCTAGTTTAGGAACAGTCAGAGAACGCATGAGGAGTTACCAGCCTGAACGCAGCCTCTACGCAGCCCTCTGGTGTGTTACGCACATGGGCATGCAGGCATGCAGGTAGGTAGAATGCAGAGCAAGCACGTGCAAATACACAACCCACCCCTCTTTTTTCTCTTAATCATGTTTTTGCATGATTTCAACTTTCTCTAAATCACATTTTTCACAAACACCAGCCCAGAAAGAGAAAAGGATTCAGGGTATGGAAAGATTTGTTCAGAGATAAGGACAAGGACACAAAGACGCTTTGGATGTAATGTGTGTGTGTGTGTGTGTGTGTGTGTGTGTGTGTGTGTGTGTGTGCGCACGAACATGATCAACATGAGTTGTAGAACGAGAAGCTTAACGATAGAGGGAGTGTCAGGATAGGAAAGAGGTGACACCGAGGGCGTGGTGTCTCCCTAAAACACTTACACAAACCTAAAGGACTGACTGATATAAGCAGGAGAGCGAGGAGAGAATAGGCAAAGGAGTAAAACGGGAAAGGGGGCTTCTGTCACTTTGCTTAGTTAAAGGAAAGGCTGTTTTTTTTTTACAGACACACACCCGCCCACACACTCGACAGACTGTTAACGGTATCAAGCTTATGTGGCTTTGTCGACGGTATTCTAAGAGCCATCCAGGCTTATGGTGGCTTGCAAAAGCTTATACAGTAAGGCTGTCAAGCGACAGCTGATGAAAGAAGAGATGTTTTATAGCAAGCAGAGTGGCTGCTGATCCACTCACGAGGCCCAGAAAGAGACTGTTGGTAGAGCCACTATAGCCGGCTCCTCTCAGCGGCCTTTGTATCCTTAGCTGGATAGTGGAAATGTGCCAGAGGCGGTGCTCTTTTAAAAGCAAAGCATAAAGCAGACTGTCCTTTCAGGATGAGGTTCAGCCCCAATCTTAACAACACACACTCACTCTTACACACCTAAAACCCCACCTACAGAGCCGGAGTGCAGACACTTACCTGAGCGAGACAAGAGTGTTTTTTTAAAACTTACCTCCACTGTGTTGTTGTTTCCGGTTTTATCGTACGGATCTTGTTGGCCTGTGGGAACAAATGGCTTTACTTTAAAGTGAATCTGCTAACTAGTTTCACATGTAATGTCAGAAACTGAGAACAGTTCCCTCATACAGGCGCTGATGGTTGTTTATAAAACCATTTAACATTTGCACATTTGCTTTATTCCTTAGAGTGAGATGGTAAAATGAATTCTCAGCTCGTATGTGTTTGTCTTAACTTAGCATAAAGGCACCATGCATGGGGAAACAGCTAGCCAAGTGTTATCTTTAAACTGAAGAAATATGTACACAAGCATTTCTAAACCTGTCTTTGATGTAAGTCTATACCTACTTGGTTAAAATCAATACTTTTGCTTTCACGCTGAGACAAAGACGAGTCAATATCACTTTAATCTGTCTGGTAAAGACAAAACTAGAACAAGATGTATATGAAAGCATTAAGAGT